GTCTGAAAACAAATATTACAATAATAAATCATTGTATTACTTCTGACGATGTTTCACTCTTCTTTCTGAACAGCGACCGATGAGACGATGACTGTCGTATTGATGCCTCCGCGAAAATTGGGGAAGTTGATTTTGAGCAAACAACCAAGAATTGATCGTTCAATCTTCAACTCCATTGACATAGTTATTTATTTCCATTTTTATGCACCCATCGTTTTTTTGATACTGATTTATATAAAGGTGGTAAACAAAAGGTCATATTTGAATCTTTTTGTCCCAATTCACTCTGTAAAGGATACCTCTCAAAAGGAGCCGCTGAGGAAGAGTTATGTGCCAGTTCCTAGTTGAAGAAAGGATTCAGTGTGATAGCCACAAGAGATGGTTTCATGGCATTTGCACAAGCTTAACTTCTACACCATACAAGCGCTGCTGCAAACCTTTAGCGAACCGGCTGCGCAATGACTGCTGCCGTACGAATAAGCCTCCCATTACGGAAGCAATCGCCACTCTCAATGGGGCTCTGAAGCCCCCGAACTGCAAGGTTCCCTCATCACAGAAGAATGACTACCTCTCGGACACTGAAGATGTGGCTAACGTCATCGACAACACAACACAAGTTCCTGAAGCTTCTCTGTCAGGGAGTGACTGCCCTCCAGCACCGAAAAGCACTCACCATGTTCCGGACATCCATGCTACCCTATCATTCCCGCATAAGCCCTCGAGTGACAGTGACGGAAAGCCTGGCACGAGGAAGAAGCGTACCAGAGGTCGAAAACCCATGGCTAAAGGCTCTGAGGGACTGTTAGATCAAGCCTCGTCCACACTGGTGGATAGCGAGAAGACACAATCGACCACGGTTATTGAAATGGACGCCAATGAATGGCATAATATAGTCTCTCGCGAAAAGAGAGATAAGGACAACATAATGGCCTCGTTGCCCACGAATAACGGAAAGACACTTACGCCACAAAGTAAGAAAGCCACAGTAAGCAAACCTGATCTCCGTGACAAGTTACTCGTTCTCCACAAAGTGTAAGAATCGTCGGCTTCCGATCTCAGGGCCGGGTTCGACCATGACCTTAACTTGGGTAAGCCCCTTTTGGACAAGCTACTGCCAACGATAGTACCAGGTGTAACCATACGCAACTTGTACAGAATCCACCAAAAGCCTGACAGTAAATCAGCCCGAACGCCACCTCAAAGTTTTACTAAACTCCAGAGAAGAGAAGGATGACATCCTAAGCAACTTTTAAAGGATCACGTATATATGTCCGTGCCGACTTATACCCAGCAGACAGTGTCAAAAGACAGTCTGTGGCCTTAGAATTATGCGAACGACGCCAAAACGGCGAAAAAGCCTTAAGATTACTCGTCTTCGGGTTGTAGAATTTCGAAGTTTGATGATCCTGAAACCTCTGTGGGTAGTTCGCGGAAGCACCAAACTGAGTTAACAGCTTGCTGCACCGATGCCCACAGCCTGTTCAAAAAACTGATTGGGTTGGTTAATTTGGTAGACTCCGGAAATCCGGGTGTAATTATCATCACAGAGACATGGCCCACACCTTGATGTCACTGATAACGAAGTTAAACTTCCAAGCTTGCAGGTCCATGGGGTGGACCGAATGAGCCGCAAAGGAGTTGGCATAGTCATCTGCCTCGAGAAATGCTTAACCGCGCGTTACATCGAAGCACTCTCTCACGAAAGTGAATCGTGAGAACTTATACGCTGCAGACTTAAATATATGAGTCAAGACATTGACCTCATTGCTGTATACCACAGTCCTATGTGCAGTAAATATGAATGTCCAACAGAGCAGCTAAGCTTTTGGACATCAAATGCCGAAGCCTCGTGCTCGGGTATAGTTGACTGAACAAGCCTTACAACGCAATCTTCAGGCAACTCCTTTGATCATAAACTGCTGGAATCCAGCATTTCGCTAGCCCTGGTCCAACATGTCATTAAACCCAAGCACTACAACTCACAGCAATTATCCTCAACTCTGGGTCCAGTGTTCGTCCAGGGTGAAGATATGAATCTCATACAAAATCTCCCTCATTTGTGAAAAAGTGATCACACTGTGCTCACTTTCAAGTTCACAGCGATAGTATCATGGGCCAAAGGCTCAGCTCGACCAAGCGTTTGGAAAGCAATCATCTCAGCAGCCAATTAGTGAACTGGTACATCAACCCAGAGTCCCGAGTAGAAGCCACATGGAACCAATTTTAACAACTGTACACCCAAGCGACTGACCTTTTCATCCCTTGGTCTGTCCCAGAGTGTCGAAAACATCCCCCTCGGATAAACCAAGAGATTCATAAGTTGCCCAGACGTGGACACATGCCACACTTGACACTCCTGAGACCAACAAATTATGCGGCACTGCTAGAAACAAAGCTATTGCAGAAATCAGCAAATCAAGGATGAAGTTCGAAGCCCATCTGGCTCAGGATGCAATGACACAACCTAAGAAAATTTTCTCGTACGTGAACATCAAGATTAAAACATCCAACGGTGTCCCAAACCTGAGTATCGACAGCGACGCAATCGAAGAATATCAAGAAAAATCAGAAGTAATGGCAGGCTACGTCCCGCAAGTCTTTACACAGGAGTCGTCACTCCCCATAGAACCATATATGACTGCATCAGAGGAAAACAGGATAGATTCTGATGACGTCGACCAAGACATCGTGCTCAGCTGTCTAATTAAACTAGATGCAGGGAAATCAATGGGTCCTGATAATCTTCACCCGAGGATTCCCAAGGAGCTGTCAACTCACATAGCCGGCCCACTGGCCACGATCTTCAAGCTCTCTCCTAAATGGAGTGCTATCGCGTGATTAGAAAGACGCCATAGTAACCCCCACCCATAAATTACGATCAAGACAAAGCCTGTCAAACTACAGGCCTATTAGTCTCACCATCACAGTGGTTAGGACTCTCGCCGACCATGAACATGGTCCGAGGTTCGATCCCTGCCGATGCACACCTGATATCTATGGACGGCAAGCAAAATTTGGGCTACCGATATCCATGCTGAAAATTCCATACATGTACTGAAAATATGGTGTGGCATCAAGCTGTAATCAAAATAAAAAAGTAAATAAAATCAAGACACTCGAAATAATCATCAAGAAAAGTGTCATGATAAATCTGAGAAGCAACAATTTGTTGTCCAGAGCACAGTATGGCTTCCGAGGAAACTTTTCATACCTGTCAAATCTCCTCACTTCAAGAGAAACCTGGGGCAAATCAAGGGACAATTGAATACCTGTTGACGTCATCTTCATAGATTTCAGTAAAGCCTTCGACAAAGTTCCTCACTAAAGATTGCTCATAAAGTTGGAGAATCTTGGTACCAAAGGCAGTTTAGAGGCTAAGGGTGTTGATGTTAACGGATAGTACGATCTATACTAACGTAAGATCTAATACCCCCCAACTTCTATAGTATTGGTTCCATGCAGCCCATAGGCAAAGCGAAATACCAGAAGTGATCGTCCGAATTGCGAATTATATTATGGGACCAACCCGGAGTGCGAGACTATTGTTGAACTGGCTACAGATCGTGCACGAAGGAACGAAAATAACGCGACGGCATTCCAAGTGGCGTGGATGCTTGACAGGAAGCATTCAGTTAAAGAAATCGACTAAAATATTGACGGTCAGCGTCCAATGTTCAGTGATAAATGCTGTGGCCAATAATTCTGGTGAATTGCCTAATGCTACAGCAGCTTAGTAAACCGGATTGGGGAACTCCTCATAGATAGGAGGCAGATGGCTAGGATCAACTGGAAACTCTCCTCTTGGACAGCAGTGCGTAGGGGAGTGCCACAAGGCACGGTACTCGAACTTCTCCTAATTGTCTCGTATATCAATGAGTTATCTGTGCTAATGGATTCCTTATTGGTCTTTTACACATATGACCTGACAATCTGGAGAGAGCTGATGGGCGACAGTGATACGCTCACGTTCCAAGAAGACCTCGACAAAATGTCAGGATCAGCTCCTACGGACTAGAGGGAATAAATCTCCCATCAATTTAAACTTATTTGGATTTAGGTGTCATAACAAGTCATGACTTTACGACTGTGCGTCGGTGGCACAGTGGTTAGGACTCTCGCCGACCATGCACATGGTCCGGGGTTCGAGCCCTCGCCGACGCACACCTGATATCTATGGTCAGCCTGCAAAATTTGGGCTACCGATATCCACGCTGAAAATTCCATACTTGTACCAAAAATACGGTGTGGAATCAAGCTGTAATCAAAGATAATGAAAATAAATACAGCCCACTGTCGCGCAGTGGCTGCACGTAGTTTCAGACACTTATGAGCTATTAGCAGAGCCTTTGCTGGAATCACCAGAGATATGCTGTCTTCTTCATATACATCTCTGTTAAGGTCAAGACTGGAAAACTGTATCCAGAAGGCCAGTTCTTGTCTTAAAGAGGACTCGCATACCCTAGAGAGGATGCAGAGGAAGGCAGCACATATGATTTTCAGCGTAACTAACCTATCATACGAGGATAGACCAGATAGTTTAAATCTATTCTCTCTGTCATACCGTAGGTAAATAGGAGATTTTATCACAATGTTTAAAATTTAAAATAAGGACTACGGACCTGACCTATTCCATTTTTTCCTTCCCATCAGGTCGGAACACCTTATAAGACATAGCAGAAGCAGCCAGGAAAAACTTCAAGTGAACATAGCGAAGACGACGGCTGTGGAGATAAACAACCAACGGCCACAATATACATCTAACAGGTGGAAGGAATAACTTCATTCACCGCATAGAGCAGACAATACATAATCAATTTCCTCTCCACCACCTTTGGACACAAATAGAGCAACAACAGTCAAGTAACGTCATAAAATACACATAGGCTTGCGGAATATTAGTATCCTTTACTTCAAAAACTGAGAAATCTGTGTGGCTTACATTGAACCATAAAAATGGCACAGGACACTGAAAGCTCGAAGACATTGTAATACGAACACTTGTCGTGCGTGATTTAAATAGAGGCGTTACCGGAGTGCTTATGTTTATATGTGTTTCCTCTACATTTAAATGTCTAGGAAATGAGTGTCATTGATGGAACTGAAGATCCTGCATCACAACTACTCAGTAAGATTTTGGTTTGCAAACATTTTTGTAGTCGTAGAGGATTTGACCCCTGATTTCCATCACGCAGATATTATGTCTTTAGAAAACTTCAGTTTGGACGATTTTGATACAATCCATCAGTCAGACGATGGATTAAATTCTTTTGAGGTAGTGACTCGAATTTGTATGTAAACTTTGGTGTTATTAGCATGCACATAACAATTCTCTTGCATCTTCTACAGGATGTGATGTGAGTGTTGCTAGCACTACTCAAACAAGACGGTAAGTATCTCCTTTTTATACTGTTGAATGGGATAAATGTGATTTTTTTACTCGTTGACGGTATGCTGTCTTTTTTTACAGTCCTTACAAACAGACAATATATTCTGGTTTCTAACATTGAAGGCTAAGGATTTCAGAATCATGTGTATTCTGATTAGCTTTATGATTCTCATAAGTCAGTAGTTTGTGCTAGTAGTCAGTCACTTGTCTATTCATGTGGAATGAATGAATTCATGGAAATTCATTCTACTAGTGACTGAAAATCTCGAAAGATTTGCGAATGAAGTGCTAGTTTTGTTAATAGTTCTTGCGCCATTGTCCAGTTAGACAGTATATATTGCATCGTCTGCCTTTCAATTGTGAGAAGCAGTCATGCTAACCCATCTAACTAGGAAGTAGTTAAAGTATCATTGCCAAAGTCAAATTCTCTTTCGAAAGTTGACCTTCAAGACCCAATCAGTTACAGGGACTGTCATGAAAAATCCTACCGAAATCAAATTATGCTTGCTTTTTTGGACTTGAAGAGGATAGATACAGCATTCTTTTTATTTATCAGGTACTTTTTCTGTTATTCTATGCACTTGGGGAGGGTTATGGCTTGTAAGATTAAGGTTTAGGGTTAAACTTAGGGTTAGGAGTTGGGATTATGGTTAAAGTTGGGAGTAGCTCAAAGAATAGTGTCAGAAATGTCAATGGATCTCAAAGTAGCATAATTTGTAGTTACCTGGATGAATGCATTTATAGCTTGTGGTACGATTTCTCTAAAGGTCATCTGCGTGTGTATTATTAAATTTGCAATATTTTCTAGTGTATTTTTCAACGTTTATGCAACTGTTTTGCTTCTGAGTTCTGATTAGTTGTTCAAGGTCACTGCGGCTTTTACTATGATAGTTAAACTTTGCCCTAACAAGGTATTTCTGTAGCTGTTGGGTATTTTATTTGGAATCTAATGCATATCGATTTTTAAGAGCTTGTTGTCTATCTGTTTTCAACTTGGAACTTGGCACCAATGTGCAGCAGTTCGAGTCACCACACTCCATGTACCCCTCAAAACAAGAGATAAAAGTAGAAGAAATGCATAACAGAGGTGTGATAAAAAAATAGTAATATAAAAGAACAATATAGTTTTGTTGGGTATTATAAGTCACAGGGAGTGGATGCATCTGCACCAGCCAGTCATTGTGAACGATGAGTTTGAGCCATATCACCAATTGTTTCCAACCATTGGTTATTACCGTCCCGAAGACCCCAACCAGGAAGTCTACGCCTTCCTACTTGGCTGACTGGCATAAACTAACTGTTGTGGATTTCATTGACTGATGAAGCCATGTTTTGGTTTGACCACCACTAGCTAGCTCTTTTCCAGCCTGACCCTATGTCAGCTAACATTGCTCGTCTGTCGAGAAAGGCGATGACTAGGCATACGTAACACATGTTCTAACCATCTCAGTCGATGTATTTTCACAGCCACCTCGTCGATTGATTTTCCCTCCCACCTACCTAGCACTTGACGCCTAACCTCAACATTGCTCGCCGTATTACACCTACCACTTCACACGGGGGATAGAACGCAGGCACCTATGGTCAAAGACAGCTCGCCAGTCTTTTCATGTCTTCCACTCTCAATGGCCAGGTCTCATAGCCATAAAGGATGACGAAGCGGACTGATGAGCGGTACACCCACCCTTTGGTCGACAGCCAGCCGGATATCGCGTCTACGCGAGAGACGGCGTAAACTGGCATATGCGAAACTAGCCCTCTGTATCCGTGTGGAGATTTCGCCAGAGATCAACCCGTCGGCGTTGGCTGATGGTACTTCCCAAATAAGTGAAGCGGTCAACGTGCTCTACCACTTCATTTCCTATTTCTAAACTAGGAGGCTTATTAAAATGTGTTGGTATGAGCGGTATGTAATAATTCAAAGAAGTAAACACCGATTTGTTCGAGATGGCATTTAAGGTCTACCACATGATTTTGTTTACTGCACTGTGTAAATTAATCACCAGTACTTGGAAAATTTTTTGTGCTTGTTTCTGGACGAAAACGGAGTTCTAAGTCCGAAAAAAAGAGGGAAGTTTGCGTGTGGGGCTAACAACCCTACCCCAAAAAATCAATCAAAACCGATCGCTACAGAAACTCTAAAGCACAGTAAAAATATTTAAAAGAGTAGTCGTCTTATACTGGATACTTAGGATTCATATGCGCACGTGATAAATTAGTCTTCTTCCTTCACATTGATTTATGCTTACCATATACTGTGTAATCTTCAAATGGTGTGTCCCAGTAGAAAGAAGGACAATCACGTGATTACGATAAACTCGCGCGCGCGCGTTTGTACTTGTGGCTAGCAATACAATGTCATGTGATTTCATCGAAGTTGACCAGTATTAAAAAATCTAAGCTTCTTTTAGTTTGAAAGGCTTCGTTAAAGTGTTTTGCCCTAGATTGCTTCATGTAAAAATTCGCTTTTGCGTGAGCTCTCATTAACCAGTTTTAGCTTTGGGAGCAAGTGACTGTCGTAAGCCTGATTTCTTGTCGTAATTTTGCAAACTCTATTTCGCCCCGTATTTTATGTGAAAAAAAACGGATATTATGAGTAAATACTGTTACAATCTTTCTGTGATATTTCATTCCATTATGGGTAAACAGAAGGTGTAGCAATGGGATCACCAATATCCCCTATTGTAGCAGACATGTTTATGAACAGCTGGGAAAATAGGGCTCTTAATACATTTAATCCTGCTCCAAAAATATGGTGGAGATATGTGGATGACACTTTCACAGTGTTAAAAACAGAACATATCTCTAGCTTCTTGACACACATAAACTCACTAGTGGAGGGAATAAAATTCACATTTGAATCGGAAAATGAACAAGGGGAATTAGATATGTTAGATTGTAAGATAAAAAGAATAGAAGAAGGCAAACTACACACCCGTGTTTATAGAAAACCAACGCATTCTAATAGATATTTCGACTTTAATTCGTCTCATCCGTTACCTGTTAAGGCAGGCTTAGTTAAATGTTTAACAAACCGAGCAGTGGCACTAAGTAGCACAAAAAAAAGACCTAAATGATGAAATAAAACAGAGGGAAGAGGCGTTGGTGTTAAATATCTTTCCTATAAAATTCATTGGGAAGATCAGTAAAGACCAAAGACAAAATAAAAATAACTGTGGAACTAGCAGTGATAACATAAATAAGAGAATATAAGTCATCTGCAGTTATACCACATAAAGAAAGGACATCTGAGACCCTACCTAGGATTCTTAACAAAGTAGGAATTAGGGTGGCATTCAAACCTACAAACTCACTCAGGTAGGACAAGCTCTGTAGGTTAAAGGACCGTGTTGACCCAATTAAACAAAATAATATAGTTTGCAAAATACCTTGCAATGACTGTGAGTTAAGTCAACTACATATGTCAAACTAGTAGGTCAGGGTAGTCAGATTGTCGGAACATAAGAATTTAGCTTAGGCATGAATGGTTGACCCGAGAAGATAAGTAATTTAGAAAAAAGCCCAGCAATTGCACTTCACGCATCAACACACAAACACACAATAGGGCAGAAGAGGGTAAAAATCCTAAGAAGTAATATAGGTAAGTGGAGAATGAGAGAGGTTGATTACTGAATCTTTGTTCATTGTGTCTACACCCTACACATGTAATAGGAATGACTCATCACTCATACCTGAAATATGGAAGATACTACTACCAATCAAACCAAGTGAAAAATAATGGAACTATATAAATGAAGTTAGGAAGTCGTGTGAGTAGTGTCTTGATATGATTATGAGCAATAAATTGTGCTCGAAACATCGTCAGTAAACATTATTGTATAACACTGTGAGACTATCAAAACAAAAATTTACCCATGACGGAATTATACTCTACCACAGTGCACAAGTTTTATCCCTATATATGTGATATTTCATGTTTTCTCGTGATGGATGGGTATGAAAATTTTATGTATATTATTCCGTACTCGGCGAGTATTATATGTGGCATCGATTATTTAGTTCTTGATGCTATTGGAGGCAAATATCATTCCTGTGAGTACTGTTGAATTGTGATGCTATTCGCCTGGTGGAAACAGAGCTATATGATCTGTCAAAATGTAAACAAATGAGTGTAATAGACAACACTGAAGTTACGTCGACTGAGGTGGTTAGGAGATGTATAACGCATGTCTAGTCATTACCCCTCTTGGCGGGCGATGTTAGCTGACTTGAGATGAAATGGGTTGGAAAAAAGCCAGTGGTAGTCAAACCAAAACTTGGCCTCATCAGTCAGTGAACTCCACAATAGTTAGTTTAAGCCACTTAGGAAGGTGTAGACTTCCTGACTGGTTGGGGTCCTCGGTGTGGTTAAAACTAATGATAGTTGGAGAAAATTGGTGATATGGCTCAAAATCGTTCTCAATTGCTGGCGCGGATGCATCCACTCCCTGTGACTTATAATACCCAATAAAACTATATTATTCTTCCATATTACTATTCTTTTTTGCCTCATATCTCTGTTTACTGTCTCTATTTTGTATTTCTTTTTACTTTCTTCTCTGGTTTTGTGTGCCGAGTGAAGTGCGGCGACTAGAAATGCTGCACATCGGTGCAAAGTTCTATGTTGAAACCAGTCAGTCAGTCAGTCAGTCAGCCAGTTACTCAGCCGTCGCTTGAGACTCCATCCAGTAGGCAGTAAGACACGCCTATTGTGTGAAAGCCAATGATACCATATAGCTGTTCAAACTTCGATAGATGGAACGGAGTTCAAACTTTTGCCTCACTGACTAAAAGATACAAATACAAGATAGTTAATCTAATATCCGTAGTTTACGTAATATCCATAGTTTTTACGTAATATGGTGAAAAAATCAGATAGAAAATGGTAAGAATAAAGAGGAGTGTTAAGTAAAAGTAAAATTTTTGATTGCACACTGGTCAGTAACTAGTGTAACATGTCTAGTCCTATCTTCGATGTAGGATAAATTCTATCAGTCCAGTTTGCAATGTGGCCACCATGCTAGGTGGCTCACCACTACGGTGCACTGTGAGATGTTGGTATTAGATGGTTGGAGGCAATCGGCCACAGGAAGCCTTGGACCTAGGTTTCGTGCAAGTTGGCACTCATCAGCAAGGCATATATGCAACCCTGAAGGAACTCATGTCCCTTCTGAGATTTGAACCCGCGTCTGACTTCTGACTGCAGCACTGGGTGACGCGGGTTCGAATCTCAGAAGGGACATGAGTTCCTTCAGGGTTGCATATATGCCTTGCTGATGAGTGCCAACTTGCACGAAACCTAGGTCCAAGGCTTCCTGTGGCCGATTGCCTCCAACCATCTAATACCAAAATTAAAATTATTACGCAAATAGATGATTAAGTCAATTAGAAGTTTAGTAATGAGTTTAGGTCATGTGAAAATCAATATATCATGCTGCAACATAAATAAGATATCCAGCTACCAGGATACTGCTGTACGAGTCATTCTTTCTGTGTACATAAGTGTATACAATTCACCTTTATCAGCTGCGAACTCCCAATGAGATCATGGGTGAGTAGCACTGAAGAGTCTCAAACTAGGATTAAACATCGATCTATTACTCTCTACTAGTTTTCACCCCCCCAACGGGTTGATCTCTGATGAAGTCTCAGCACGGATACAGACGGCTAGTTTCGCATATGCCAGTTTATGCCGTCTCTGGCTTAGGAGACGTGATATCCGGCTGGTTGTTGACTAAAGGGTGGGTTTACTGCTCATCAGTCCGCTCTGTCCTCCTTTATGGCTGTGAGTGAGACCTGGCCATTGAGAGTGGAAGACATGAAAAGGCTGGCGAGCTGTCTTTGATCATAGGTGCCTGCGCTCTATCTCCTGTGTGAAGTGGTATAATAAGGTGAGCAATATTGAGGTGAGGCACTGGTCGAGTGCTAGGTAAGGAGGGGAAATCAATCGACGAGGTGGCTGTGAAATCACATCGACTGAGATGGTTAGGACATGTGTTACGCGTGCCTAGCCATCACCTTCCTCGACGGAAAATGTTAGCTGATATGGGGTCAGGCTGGAAAAGAGCTAGCTAGTAGTGGCCAAACCAAAACATGGCTTCATCAGTCAGTCAAATCCACAACATTTAGTTTAAGCCACGTAAGGAGGTGTAGATTGCGTGACTGGTTGGGATCCTCGGGACGGTAAAAAACCAATGGCTGGAGATAATTGGTGATATAGCTCAAATCGTTGTCAATGGCTGGCGCAGATGCATCCACTCCTTGTGACTTATGATTTCCAATGAAACTGTTTTGTTCTTCGTTATTACTATTTCTTTGTCTCACACCTCTGTTTACTGTCTATATTATGCCTTTTTTGTACTTTCTTCGCTTGCTTTATGTGTTACAAGGAGTGGAGTGTGGTGACTTGAACTGCCGCACATCGGTGGAAAGTTCTATGTCGAAAACAGACAGACAGGAGACAGGATAACAGGCGAATAGTGTGTTTTATAGCCTACACGGTGTTCCTAATACTCGTTGGTTATTGAATAGATTTTCAAATAACACTTTTTTTTTTAAAAAAATAACAAAAATTCTAAACTTCATGAAATGTGTGTATGTACGTTTTAGACAGTCAGCTCGTCTTGAAGCGAAACAAAAGATGAAAAAGATGCATGGTGACTATGATGAAGGAGTTTCAGAAGATGGTCAGGAGATAAGATCACCTGGTAATTTGAATTTTACAATAAAAGAAGTATTTTAAAAAGATTAGATTATAAATTTTTATTTCAGTGATTTTTTGTATTTTTGATCAATTGTATTTCTTTATGAAGAATCTTGGATAACCTGAACTGATGGTTTTATTCCAGTGTGGTGGTATTTGACTCTGACTGGTATTTTTATTTAAACGCAGAAAAACTTGGTACAACATGGCACCAAAAAGATGTGCCACACTTGTTTGGGGGCTGAGGTACTGCCTGCTCGCCCAGACCGGGACAATCCCGCGAACCTTTGACTTAGAGTCGAATACGCAAGGCAGCGGAACAGCGTCAAGAGCTACATTCCCTTGGTCGCCTGTGACCAATATTGGTTCATACGCCATTTGATCCGATTGGATTCTGGAGCGCATTTGTACCCCATGGTAACTGCTTTCAGTCTAACCGCTATCTAAAACAACCTTCCTGACATGGTAGGACCTGCAGGAGCATGAGTTCCAGCCAGTTTGGCTTGTTGCGTCACTGAGGTATTCAAGCCCGACCACCACGACATGGTAGCATTGAGTTTATTCAACTTTGTCTCCCTAAAGGCGAACGATTTAATATTTAAGCCTCACAACGAAATTAGAGTGAAGTTACGTGTTTTTAATAGTTTCAGAAACGGTTGACAAGAGTGTAGCTTTCGGGTTAAAGGGGTTTTCAACGCAGTGCAAGTGATTTTATTTTTGATCGAGAAAGATAGACCAGATTTGCAGTATAAAATGATATTATCATTGTATTTCACGTGCGTCGGTGGCACACAGGTTAGAACGCTCGCCGACCATACACATGGTCTGGAGTTCGATCCCCGGCCGCCAACGCACTCCTTTACCTCGCCAAGCCAGAAATAATGCTGGTTAAGAGGAAAGGTTGGGCATATAAGGCTGGCAAGCAACCCCATCCTGTAAAATTAAACACTGCTACAGGAACCTCAAGCCACTAGCTTGAATATGTCCTGTTCCACTGGGAACGTGAAGGTTGTCATCAGCTAACTGCAAACTACTTGAAATTACAATGCTTCTCGGCTCTCTGAGCTAAGATCATGTGTAGTATCTGTTCTTTGCAGTGTAATTTCTGCAACGGTCTCTAAACTGAGACCAATGAAATTACCTGAATTTTTCCCTTACGGACGGGTGCTGTGAGCTTGCTCAACCCCGTCCACGGGTCGGCCTCGTATTGCATTACCTTGAGGATTGGCCCATTTTTGCGTCGGTGGCACAGTGGTTAGGACTCTCGCCGACCATGCACATGGTCCGGGGTTCGAGCCCTCGCCGACGCACACCTGATATCTATGGTCGGCCTGCAAAATTTGGGCTACCGATATCCACGCTGAAAATTCCATACTTGTACCAAAAATACAGTGTGGAATCAAGCTGTAATCAAAAATAAATAAAAATAAATAAAATAAATGATAATAACACACTTTAATGTGTAAGTGGTAGTAGAGAAGAAATATGATAAAATTGACGCATCCAAAATGAAGGCAGCAGCATTACAATTTTTAGTTTGCGTTTTCATCATCAATTTATACGCTTTTAAAGTTGAAAAGAGGGGGGGGAGGGGTAATACAGAGAACAGAAAAAGTTGACAAACAGTGTTAGCTTGTAGAATTTGCTGCGTAGCAAGTCAAAAAAAGATTAAGTGAGTTGAGATAACTGAATTAGATGACTAATGTAATTAATGTAATCAAAATCAAAATTCATTTATCAAAGGAGTGACAGATTAATCACATTCTCTTTCTGTATGCCTAAGTCTGGTTGGTTTGAATCGTTTGGATTGCGATCGCTTCGGCGAATTTGTAGTAAATTCGCTGTCCTTTGTCTATTTAACAAAATATTTTGAAGGACTTAGAAATCTCTTCGAGATGACCAGTATCAACAGTATGTTTCGTAATTGCACTCTGACAATATTTGCTTCCTTTCAGGCACAAGTTTCTTGGAATATGCTCAGAAAACCGGATAGTAGCCCTTCTTTCCATCCTTCCAATGTAATTGCTCTCACAAGTGCAAGTAAATTGCATGGAGGATTTAATCATGAGCTGACATCAGTTAGAGAACCACTGGAAAACCTGAGAGTATTGGACAGCTGTTTCGTCCTAGTTTGGGACTCTTCATCAGTACGTACCCACCGGGGTTCGAACCCAGGACCTTCTGGTTACATGGTCTACGAGCTCGCCTTGTAACCAGAATGTCCTGGGTTCGAATCCCGGTGGGCGCGTACTGCTGAAGAGTCCCAAGCTAGGACGAAACAACTGTCCAGTACTCCCAAGTTTTTCAGTGTTTCTCTAACTGGTGTCAGCTCATGATGAAATCCTCCATGTAATCAAACAGAATCCCTACAAAACCAATACTTGCAAGTAAATTCATAAATGCAGTTGGTGGGTGACATCAGCAGGGTATTTATCCAGTTTTGATTGGCTTATAGAAGAAGTGTTCCTGTTAATATCATTTCATACTGCAAATCCGGTCTTTGATTCTCTGTCCTTTGTCTCCTTAACAACACAACGACGAAAGATAGGAAGTTTTATTTTATGTCGGTAATGCAATAATGGAATACTCGCCAACTACTCACCTGGTCCTGGTTCGATTCCTGACTGATGCACTAGTCGGTGGTAAGCCTAACAAAGAAGGAATATTGGGTATGAGGAATCGCAAAAACATTATCATGCTGATTGGAACTTCAAATCTTGAAGGCGGCCTACGTTCTATTCGGAACGTAAAGGAATGAAACATCAAACCATGTTCTTACAGGATTTTGTTCACTTAGGAATACTACTCACTGTGTACTGATTGTACTTTTGGGATAAAGTCCCTACTTTGATGTGGATGTGTTCTCTGAGCTGGCTGGATAGTTAATTTGTGAAGCTTTCATCGCCGTACTAAGAAAAATCCTCAGCGCATAATTTAATTTGAAGTGAGCTTTTAGATTTCTCCACGAGTTCGCTATAAGTCACCTCTCCTGATGGGTGATCGTGAATGTTTCGATTGGTTGTTTTCGTGCGTTTTCACACCTTCTAGGCTACTTGTATTGCGACTGATTGTTTCTTTGACTTGAAATGTGACCCTTTGTGTGTGAGGTTTCTTTCTTATCGGTTGATAAATTTTGCCTATCTCTGTGTGTCTATTGATTGACGATTCACTGGAATGCCAGACAGGCTTCTAAAAATTCTCTAACATTCTTGGTGTTTCCTCTGTCTAGTATTTGAACGCTGGTTGTCCCTGTCGAATTGATGTCCGTACCTAAGATATGTTGATGACATTTTTATTATCTGTGAAAGCAGATCAAAAGCGGAAGACATCTTGATAAAATTCAATTCATGCCATCCAAATCTCAATTTCACAGTAGAACACGAGGAAAACGATACTATGAAATTCCTAGACGTTTTTCTAGCCAAAATGAATGATGGCACAATCGAAAGATCTATATTTAGAAAGTCTTCATGGACAGGACAGTACATGCATTTCAAGAGCTTTGTCCCAATCCAGTACAAAAAGAACCTAGTCAGAACACTGTTCAATAGAGCACGAAAAATTTGTTCTGACAGTACTATTGAACAGGAAATAAAATCTCTGAAGGATATTTTATCTAAGAATGGATATCCTGAGAAGTTCATTAATAAATACTCTAAAGAAACTACCCCCTGCAAAACAATTCAAACAGTTCCAAAGAAACCTGTTTATATCAATTTGCCGTTCAAAGGAGATGACGTACAAGAAGTAGTGAAACGAAGACTCGACAAAGCCATCAAGAGAACTTATTATGCTGCAAAACTTGTTATCCTTAACACCACCAAGCGAGTGCTTCAACAATCTGGGAAAGACCAGTCGCCAATCCTCGACACTTCAAACTGCATATATCAATTTGAGTGTGTTTGTGGCAGCAAATACATAGGTCGTACGGAAAGGCGATTGTCTACTCGCATGATGGAGCATTTGCCAAAATGGTTGAAAACAGCTGAGTTCAAAGTGCCAAAATCCTCAATAACAAAACATCTTGTAGATTACGGACATGATATCGACGCAGTCAAGTCATTTACCATTGTCAGCAAACAAAGAAACAAGAAGATGCTTGCAATTGCAGAGGCTTGTGCAATTCGAATTTATAAACCAGCTCTCTGTATACAAAAGGAGATGGTCGTGACTCTTAATCTACCATGGTAATACGTTTTATTCTCTACTTGTTATTATTCTATCTCTTCTTCTTACTATTATTGTTATTATTATTACCATTATTATTATTATTCTTGATTCATCTAAAACTATGCTTTATCAGTAAGATTATCTTAACTCACTTCAACACTATTAAAACTGTTATTATAACTATTACTATTGATATTAGTCTGTTTGCAATTCTCTTTATATTCCCTAATGACTAATTGTTTATCTAAGTGATGCAATTGAAGCGTAATGCAATTTATCTTAATTTTGATCTCTCATACTCTCTCTCCCCTTATCTATTTGAACATGACCTGGAAAACATTCGCACGTGCCTTTCTGCATGATTAATTCAATGTAGTTTATTTATCAGTCTTATATCTCCCAATGTAATTTCAAAAGTATATATATCCGTGTATGTAGAGTATTCAACTGACGAGTTCTACCGAAATTTGATGAATTCATTAAATCCTGCTTTATTAACCTTTATTGCTTGTTTTAAATTCGTATCGGGAAATAAATGTTTTCAATCTAGATTTTACTGCTAGGTTTTTATGCTCGGTAGTCTGACTACCCCTGTTCTACTAGTTTGACCTATGTATTTGACCTGACAATCATTGCAGACAGGGTATTACATAAACTAAATTGTTTTGTTTTAAAGGCCCCCTAGGATCCAGCCTTTAACCGACAAAGCTTGTTTCTAATTGAGTTTGTGGGACGGTTTGAATGTCACTTTTATTCCTACCTGCATTGTTAAGAATTCTGTGTAAGGTGGTTTCCGAGGCTCCTTCCTTGTATAAAAAATTACTACTGATGATTTAGATATTCCGTATTGTTGGTGTTGTCTTGCGCATATATGACATGTACTTTGGTGATATGGTTGTTCAAAGGTGTTTTCAGTGTCACAGGGGTATCCAGGTTTTGCAGTCTATCTCATCCATTAAATCCTCATGTTTTCCTTTCTGCTGTTCATTTGAATTTCTATTTGTCTACCCTTGTGTGCTACATGGAGTGTGTGGCAGCTTGAACTGCTACACTTCTGTGCAAAGCTATATGTCGAAACCAGTCAGTCAATCAGTCAGTCAATCAGTCAGTCAGTTAGTCAGTCAGTCAATCAGTCAGTCAGTCAATCAGTCAGTCAGTTAGTCAGTCAGTCAGTCATGAGGATAAATAAATATGATGTCTGTTGCTAATACTTCCGAACATTTGAATACTTCAGTTATTCATTTCTACTCCCTAACCCAACTGTGGTTCCCTAAACATAATAATAATTTGATTAATTTTTATGCTAAAAACTCACCCTCCCTGTTATCTTACTGATGCCTATTAACTCTTTAAAAAAGTGTAAATTGCCGCCGTCTCATTCGCCTTCTCGCTTGTCAATTATATACTGATTATATTATAGGTGGTGGTACCAGGAAGCGACGCAGCGTGAAAGCAAGTGATTCAACGCGCCAAAATCGTACAAAATCACAATCTAAGCGATCACATGGTGGTGGTTCAAGTAATTATTCTTCGGACTCAGATGACGATGCTCCTGATCGAATTTGGTGTATCTGCCGTCAGCCTTGTGGTGAAAGGTAAGTTATGTGAGAAGAGAATAGTAATAATACTAGTATTCAAATGTTGGTTTGCAGGGATTTGATTGGTTACAGGATTTTACCATGAGCTGACATCAGTGAGACGACAATTGGAAAACCAGCAGGGTGTGCTGGATAGGCGTTACGTCTTAGTGCTTGAGACTCTTCAGCAGTATACACCCTCCGGTTACAAGGGGAGCTCGTTAGACCACTTAGTCACTGGGACCCGATCCTATGGCTAGTCCATGAATTCCAACCTCTGCCAATTCAGGATATGGTGCGACCATCAGCCTTTATGATCGGTGAGTATTTGTCCTCACACTCGACTTGCTGTGCCCTATTAGGATACCCTGATGGGGCACAGCAAGTCGAGTGTGAGGGAAAATACTCTTGTATGACAGTCGCTAGTGCCAGTGGCTGATTGGTCTACAAGCTCGCCTTGTAAACGGAGAGTTTCTGGGTTCGAACCCTGGTAGGTGTGTGCTGCTAAAGAGTCTCAAGCACTAGGATGAAACAACTATCCAGTACTACTCCTAGCTGGTTTCCAATGGTCCTCTCACCGATATCAGCTCATAATGAAGTCCATCTTCATTCGTTTGTTCTCTTGTTTTTCTTACCAATTGTTTCCAAATGATTGTTCATCCCTTAACTAGTTCACCCTCAAACTCCCCTGATTACGTAACATTAGCGAGAGTTTTTCAAGTATTGTTGTAATTCATACACTTCGATTTTTCTTCATTAATAACGGACGATAACCTGTGAGGTATGTTGTCTACTGATAACCACCAAATAAACTGTACAGCTTTGAAGTGGAGTTACGAAAAGAGGTGATCTCTTTGCTGACTTTGGATAAGGTAGAAGTTGGAATTCATGAACCATAACATTGGGTCCCAGTGGCGTAGTGGTCTGCAAGCTCTTCTTGTAACCGGAGGATGCTGGGTTGGAACCCGATGGGTGGATGTGTGCTGATGAAGAGTCTTGGGCACTAGGACTTCCTGATGGTTTTCCAATGGTGCATGATGAAATCTGGCACTGTGGTGGTAGAATATAACTCCATTATGGATAAGATTTTATTTCGATAAAGTCACACGGTGTTGTTTTACAGTAATATTAACTGATGACCACCTTTCGAGCAAAAATTGTTGCTGCTCATTTCTAACTTCGTTTATGTACATGAGTGAAATTGATGATTAGACATTTCAATAGAAATCAATATCAGATAAAGTACATTCAGAAATAATAATACCGAGTATTATTGATCAAATACAATCACATGGGAAATAAGACAAGTGTTTTTATAGTCATAATAAGTGAGTAACTTGTTAGAATGTTGTGATGTACGTGAATTGAAATAGAATTTTGAGATTATTTATTATCCTCCTCTGATTTGACTGACTGACTGACTGGTGGTAATAATATCTTCCATATTTCTGATATTTGCATTGAGTCATTTCTGTTGCATGAGTTGTGTTGGGTGTAGACTCGATGAACCAGGGCAGGATTCAGCAATCAACCTCTCTCTCCACCTACTTATATTACTTTTTAGAATTGTAACCCTATCCCACCTTATTGTGTGGTTGTTTGTTAATGCGTGAAGTGCAATTGCTGAGCTTTTTTTCCAAATTACTTATCTTCCCAGGTGGGGTGAACCATTCTTCCCTTAGCTAAATTCTTATGTTCTGACAGTCTGACTCTACCCTCGACCTACTAGTTTGACCTATTTAGTTGACCTCACTCACAGTCATGGCAGCATATTTTATAAATTATATTATTTTGTCTAATTGGATCAACTAGCAGGATCCTTTAACCTACAGAGCTTGTCCATACATGTATATATAAATGAAGGAAAAAAGTTGTGTGAGTGAGTGACTTGATATGTGATTATGAGTGGCAATAGTTTGTGCTCGAAACATGGTCTCATCAGTTAATATTACTGTAAAACAACACTGTGTGTGTGTGACAGTTTATCAATATAAAATCTTATCCGTAATGCAGTTAGTAGCTATTTAGTGTATATATATTTGTATGAACAGGTTTGTTTAGTAGTAGTAGTGTATGGTAGTGTGATGCAGACAATGTGTGTCAAAGGTATGTTATTCTGACATATTCCCACAGTTAATTTCGACCTTAATAACAGCATACGATATATCTATTTGAACATCCAATTTGATGTTAGAGGCAGAATTCATTTCCCACGGTTATATACTGCATTAACAAAAGAATATTATGTATTATATTTGAACGTTGTATTTCATATTGTTTGATGTAAACCGAAATCACCAGCTCTCAGTGACTGGTTAACGAATCTAAACTGTATTGTATATATAAACAGCAGTTTGATACTAACGTTAAATATACCTTGGCTTGGAGTGTCTTGCATTCTATTGTTACATTACTACTGTAACAACGGAAGACAAGGGCCGGGCAACAGATCGTTTACTAAGGAAATCAACACATTTATAGATTTTCATGTACATATTATAGATTATTGTTAGCAGAAAAACACCACAGTCTTCTGATTGGTTGTTTCTCACAGAAAGTTTACCTTTCATCTCTTTGTGGCTGTTTTTTGATTGTCAGATCATCTATGTGTTAACTGTATCCACCTACGTAAAGCCTTTGTTTTCATTTTTCTCACGACCAATATTGGGGACATATACATTGACTTAAATTACTGTCCACCAATTTTGACTAACGAAGAAGCAGCAAAGACAGGACTCCACGTGAACATGGACAAGACGGAGATTATGAAAAGAACCAACCAACCAACAACAACAACAACAGTAGCAGCAACATCGAGCGCGAATCACCATCAACGGGAGGGATTTGAAAGAATTTACTTCATTCACTCACTTATCTAGGGAGCATTGTCTCAACTACAGACAGTCGGAACGGACGAGGATGTCAAATCGAGCGAGAATCGGGAAGGCAGGCGAGAAATACATTCATCAACCAACTGAAACCAATCTGGAAATCTTCGTCACTCAGCCAGAATCAACAACAAAATTCGGTCGGATTTTCAGTACAAACGTCAAGTCAGTCAGTTCTTCTATACGGATCAGAAACTTGGCGGGTGAGCCACAAAGAATATTTCCAACAGCCTGTTGCAGACCTTTATCAACCAACAACTGTCTTCGCTGGATCTATAATGAAGATCAGATGGCCGTGCCGGAAAGAATCACCAACAAGAAATTATGGGAACAAACAAAACAAGAACCAGTTGCTCGCCCAACAAATATGCAGGAGAAAGTGGAGACGGATTGGACACTACTCTCTGAGGAGGCCGGGCCGCTGGGTGACATCACGCGCGCTTCAGGCCATTGCTCGAGTGGAACCAGGCCGAAAGGGAAGCGGCGAGTGGGACGTCAGTGCAAGGGTGACATGAAGGAGATCGTGTGAAGAGGAGGAGTTGAAACAGTATGGACTAACTAGCATGGATGCAGGTGAAAAGTACAGCAGAAGGAAGACAGAAGCAAATGGAGACGTGTAGTTGAAGCCATATGTTCCACTGGGAACCCAAGCGAACAATAATAATAGTAATAATTTTGACTAGCAGCCAGCTCTCACCACAGTGTGATACAGACAATGTGTGTCAACGGAGTATTATTCTCACATATTCCCACAGTTCAATTCGGCATTAGCAACAGAATACTACATACGTATTTGAACATGTTATGTACTCGTCGCTGAATTATTGTTATGGACTGGTCGAGAAACTAATAGTCCTGACGCGAGAAGGCGGAAATCAGAATACCACTAGGTTTGCGATGATACTTCTATTGTCCAAACACAAGGAGACGGAAATAAAATGGTCTCACACCAAAGTGGTAAGTAAGTAAAGTAAGTGTAAAGTCAAGTAGTTCACACAAATTGTGAATGCGAATATATATAAATAATTCAGACAAGCGTGGGAAAAATCATTAGACAGTCTTAACATGAATGGCTAATTATAATGGAGTGTCGATCCAATTATACATAGCGAATATAGCAGACATGCCAACAAACATATATGGATATATGTCACCAAGCAACGGACTGTCAACAAACACTCATATTATATATAATATAATATAAGGAGAATACACATCTCAAAAGGAGACAAGTCCATACAAGTGAAGTGGTCACAGACTAACCGAGCAAACAGAAAGAGAGACCAACATGCACACACACACACATAAATATATATATGTGGATACATATCAGAACATCCTATTTGATGTCGTTTAATGTAAATCAGAATCACACGCTCAGTGATTGTTTGATGAATATGAACTGTAGATATATACAAACAGCAGTTTGATTAATGAAAAATATACCTTGGCTTGGTGTGTCTTGCCTTCTGTTGTTACATTCGGTGTCACTACCTGTCGACAAATGGAAAGCCTATGCCCTGCTTTTTTTGAAGAAGGCGACATATGGATCTTCTGGCAGGACTTGGAGGCTGTTACGCAGTTGAGTGGCGTTCAAAATCCGTCATCGATGATGCTGTTACTTGGAACGCTGCTGGGAGGTCGGTTGACGGGATCATATGATACGAGCCAGAGTCATGCAAACTGCTCCGAAATTGGCAAGGTCACAGTCACCATGAGACGGGGTCCTGTGTATACTATCAATAATGCAAAACAAAGAGAAGCGGGTGAACACGTCAGCAAGCGCTGGAACTTGATACAGCAAGACAAGCTAACAAAGCTACTAGCACTAAGAAGATCGAACCAACTTCAGTCGAAATTTTTTGATAGGTGTGGGGACAAGTATGGTGGTGTGATACAGATAATGTGTGACAACGGAATGTTATTCTCACATGTTCGCACAGTTCAATTCGATATTAGCAGCAGAATATGATACATCTATTCGAACATTCGATTTGATGTTAGAGACAGAATACATATCCCATGGTTATATAATGCATTGGCAATAGAATACTATGTATATTTGAACATTGTATTTCATGTTGTTTGATGTAAACGGAAATCACACGCCCAGTGATTGGTTAAAGAATATAAGCTGTATTGTATATATATATATATATATATAAACGGCGGTTTAATAATAATGATAAATATACCTTGGCTTGGCGTGTCTTGCTTTCTGTTCTTACAGTAGTACAGTACTACACGTCTCAATTGAGGCTATGTGCATTCCTTTGTGGTTATTACATTCATTCACGATGAACAATTTCAAAATATTCTATTCTATCTCTCTGTCTGTCTGCATTCAACGTAGAACTTCGCACCGAAGTGCAAGAAGATGAGTGAAGAGAATCAATAGAGTTTGACAAGTATAAGAGTGAAACAGAATGAGTAATGGTAAAAAGGAATATGAAAGATTACAGGGACTGAATACATCTGCGCTAGCCATTGACAACGATTTTGAGCCATGTCACCTATTGTCTCCAGCCATTGATTCCTAGAGTCCCGAGGGCCCCAACCCGGAAGTCTGCATCTCCCTACCTACCTGACTCAGTTTAACTATCAAGGATTTTATGGATTGATGAGGCCATGTTTTTGTTTGGCCACCACTTACTGTTTTTCAACCTGCACCACCTATATCAGCTAGTAATGCCCGTCAGGGGAGGCGGTGGTTAGGCATGCGCAGCACGTGACCTAGCCATCTCAATCTATGGAACTTTATAGCCTCGTCGATTGATTTTCCCTCTTTGCCCAACACTCTACGCCTAACGTCAGCATTACTTACCTTATTAAACCACCTAACGTGAGAAAGAGATCGTAGACATCTATGATGAAAAACAGTCAACCTTTACATGTGTTCAGAAGACTCTGCATTTTGTCAGAATCCTCCCCTAACAGGACTATGTCATCTGCATATTCTAAGTCCATAAGACTATTCCCTGGTAACAAGTCGATTTCTAAGTCATTGCGTTCAGTTAAGGATACTTCCATCAGCATATCTATGATGAAGTTAAACAGAAATGGGGAAAGTGGACATCCCCGTCGGACACCACTGGTTGTTACCAATTCAGATGACAATTCCCCATAAGCCCTTACACGACTACGTGAGTTTGAATAGAGTGCCTTGATTAGTGCAATGTACTTTCTTGGCACTCCCTTCACAGTCAGACATTGCCATAGTACCTTTCGATCCACGGAGTCGAAGGCCGCCTTCAAGTCAAGAAATATGACAATTGTTGGACGCTGAATGGGGGGGGGGTAGAAGTTAGAATCCATAGACTGGCCATTGGATCGGGTCCCAGTGGTTGATGAATGGTCTACAAGATCGCTAGTTTTGTAACCAGAAGGTCCTGGACTCAAATACCGGTGGGTGCGTACTGAAGACTCCCAAACTAGGACGAAACAACTGTCCTATGGTTCTCTAAACAATGTCAGCTCATCATGATGTGAAATCCTGTAAAATCAATTAAATCAAATCCCTACAAACCAACACTTATTCCCATTGCTATTATTTTTCTCTGTGTATCGTTTCATCATTTAGATTTATGATATGCTGTGATCTCTGCGATGAATGGTATCACGGGGATTGTGTTGGCATTGCACCTGAGGAAGGAAAACGTATGGAAATGAATGAAATCGAGTTTATCTGTGATACATGCAAATTGATGAGTAATTATGCTAATGAAAGTTATCAAGTAAGCAAATGATGGTAGCAAAGGTTGAATTTTTAATTATATATATATATATATATATATATATATATATATATATATATATATATATATATATTATTGTTCCCTTGGGTTCCTACTGAAACGTAGGACTTCATCAGCTCGTCTGCCCTTTGTTGTATTTTCTGCTGTCCTCTTTAGCTGCGCCCGCGATTGCCCATATTCTGTCATCTCCCCCATGTTACCCTCGAAATGACCCTCAAAAAGTCGTTTCCCATTCGCGTTCCACTCTACTGATGGCCTAACTGGTGCGCGATGTCATTGAATGGTCTACTCATTGGGATGTGTCCAATCTACCTCCCTTTTCTCCTGCATATTTTCGGTTAAGGGTCAAATTAATGAAAATTACAATTAGGAATTAAAATGCCATAATAAACAGGGGGACGGATAGAACTCAAACAAAGTAGCATCATAATTACTGAGAAGATTGACATTGTGCAATTAGGGGTTAGAAATGTAGAAATAACAACAATAGATAGACAGGATGTTTGGATAAAAAAACTTACGTATATGCATATACCAGTTTACTTGCTCTTGTGGAGCTGAATACATCGGCCGTACCATGCGCCGACTTGAAAAAACGCTCTCGTGAACACTACCCAGCCTAGCTAGTAAAAGGAGACCAAAAAGGTGTATACAGTTCAGTGATAGAACATCTAGTTAATTCAGGACACTCAGCACCTTCCGAAAAATCTTTCAAAGTAATATACAAGATTCAATCAAGCCTATCAAAGGGAACGAAATTAAGACATCTAGGCATAGCCGAGGCACTAGCTCTATCTAAAAGCTCAAACCCATGCTTTGTATCGAAAAGAAATACATCCAACCCTTGTCCCTGCCATGGCCATCATAAACAGGTAATTTTTTAGTAATGACCATCCCATCGCCTTTCTTCTGTAAACTTCCTATTTATTCATGTTACTTTTAAGTTTTTCTTAATCCCTCCAAATTACACCACCATATGTTCATATCCGAACTTCCTGTTTATTTTGTCATTTTACTATTCCCACATATTTAATCCCTGATTGCATAAACAATTATTCATCACATTAGTTTTTCTATCCAAACATCCTGTCTATTTTTGTTATTTCTGCATTTCTAACCCCTAATTGCACAATGTCAATCTTCTTAGTAATTGTGATGCTACTTTGTTTGAGTTCTATCCGTCCCCCTGTTTATTATGGCATTTTAATTCCTAATTGTAATTTTTATTAATTTGACCCCTTACCGGAAATTATTCTGGAGCTTTCCCATCCATTTGATATAAATACACGAATCTACACAGCCTCCTAGTTAATGACTTCGTCGAAAAGAAAATTTTCTTCGCTGCAACTGTCTTCTTAATAACTCCTATGGCTCAATGTGTATATTCCTGCATATTTGTTAAACGATCTGCTCGCTACGTCTTCATGAAATTCAGTCTTTCAAATTAGTCAGCAATTGTTAATGTACACAGTCGGGGGATGGGGGTGAAATTTTCACCTCAGTTCCCTTTGGAAATCGAAATTATTCACACAACCAAAATATATGATCTGCTTGTGATACCATCATAAATGGTAGTCAAGATAGCAAACATTTCGTCTGAAATTACATACTACTGATTGGTTGAGATTAAATAGTTATATACCACTCATAGCAAACAACAATGCTTGCTAGCCCACAATACCCCTGATGAGCTTGACCCTAAACAAGCCAAATGACCATCCGGTTAGCTAAGCACCATTGATTGGTATGAGTGGTATACGACTACTGATTTCACCCAATCAGTAGTATACCGTTTTAAGCTAAATTTCTTCACATTTTGTTAATATTCTTATTCTTATCAGTTCGCTCTTTTGTTGTTATGCATCTTTTTTCCATATATATTGTATATGTACGTGTGTATGTCTATATATGTGTGTGTATATATACAGTTTCAGTTTCAATCATTCCTCGACTCAGATGATTTCGCTATCTTCGATACAACAGAATCCCCTGGTGGACTATTGCCTCTCCCTCCTTTATCTCTTCTTCCTAATGGATTAACAACAGCTGATATAATGACTAGTTTAGAATTACATTTACGCGAAGGAAGTGGAGAAGAAGAGGAACAACAGCAACAGGATGCCGAAGAATGTGACAAAGAATTATTAACAAGTTTACCTGATGCTGATGATGTTGACGGTGATGGTACAGGGAATACAACAAAGACAAAAGTGACACCACGACAGCAGCCGCTGCCGCCGTCATCTAGGACGACTACTGCCTCTGCTGTTGCTGTTGCTGCGACTACTACTGCTACGACCACTTTAAAAAGTTCCATTTCTGAGTCGTTGTCAACTTCTGTGAATAGTGTAGACGAGGCTGCATTTACTGTAAATACAAATGAAAATGAATCGTCTGCGTAAGTTTCTTTGCTTATTGATTAACTGTAACTACTAACCAACCACTACAATTATTATTAGTTATTTTTACTGATTTGGTAGAACACAAGCTTGGTATGGATTATAGGCACCAAGAGATGCGCCATACAGAACCTCACAGTTTCTGCGACGGCAGGGTTACTTTAGAGGTCCCAACCGTATGCTTGCTTTTGATCTGAAGTCTGATCCTTTAAGACAGTAGAGCTGCGTCCTCATGGTTGACAGTGATCAGGATAGATTCACACACCATTCTCGAACCCATGTAGACCATAGGCTTGGAATTAAGGTCTTCCAGCTCTCCTAGGTCGACCCAGCATGTACACCCCCAGTGCGGTTGTAAGCGCCAAACATTCGCATTCGACCGGATATGGCAGCAGATCGTGGGGAGCAGGAAGACTAGCATACCCTGTCAAAGTAATAAAAAGACTCTAGAAGGTCTGGACTTCTCTGACGACGATGTATGTGTAACGTCACACAAGTTGACTTAAGAGAGGGAGGCAACGAAGACAGAGAGAACATTAAGTGAACATAAGAAAGATAGAGGTGATGAAAATACCAAACTAAAACAACAAGCATTAATCCCTAACAACTGGAGAAATCTAATTGAATTTTAGATTTTCCCGTCGATTGATTGGACCGAAGTGCTTGGTCTCAGGATGATATGTCGGCTTCTTGAGCAGACGCTTCGATGATGTCTGGGCATTTAATAAGTATTTATTTGATGGACGATGACTAGCAGTGGAATCCAGGCTAAGGCGCATTTCGTCCCATTCGGGACTTGGCCTCCAGCTGTTTGTACCTTCATTCCCCAGTGGGTGGTGATGTTCCCACCGAGACTCGAACCCAGTGCCCATAGTTTCAAACGCCAAAGTGTTATCCATTAGATCAGTAGGGCCATAAGATCCACCTCTTGTGCAACGGATCATATTAATTATTGAGATGAATTTTTAGATTTTCCCGTCGATGGATTGGACCGAAATTATGGGCACTGGGTTCGAGCCTCGGTGGGAACATCATTACTCACTGAGAAATGCAGGTGCATCCATCTGGAGGACGAGTCCCATACAGGACGAAATCCGTGTTATCCCGAATTCCACTGCTAGTCACCGTCCACCAATTAAACTGGAGAAATCTCATAGAAGTCACCTCATATGCTGCTTAGTTAGGTGGTGTCATTTCAACTACAAGCAGGCTGTACAGATAAATATGTCAAAGTTAGGCGGGATCAGAACAACAAGACCGAAGTTCTTGGGCGATGCTGCAGCACTGAGCACTAAGGGACAATATCCACGTCATCACAAAAAGTATTTTTAACAAGCTACTGTGAAGGTTTTTCAACATCTTCCCTCCCCCCCACCCACGTTTGTAACAAAGAATTCTGGTAATGAACCAACCAGGATCTTATCTCTTAACAGATATGCAGAAGTAAATGGAAATATACTCTGAGGAAACCGTAGAGTAACATCATGTTCTATGCAAACCGTCGAGTGGAATAGGAAATGTCGAGTTGGGTGTGAGTGCAAGGTTGACATGGAGGAAATTGTGTGAGTGTGTGGAGATCAGATGAAAACGGCGATGTGCTGTTGAAATCCAATATTCCGCACGGAATCCATGGGAATAATAATAATAATAATACTAATATATATAACCTGGCTGTTCAAACTGAAGTAGGCGGAGTACTGTTCGAACCCTCAATTCAATGACTGTGTTTTATGTTTTAAAATTCATTTTGTACTCTTGTGAACTTGTGTACTTTATAGTCAATATTTGTTACATTTCTTGATTGGTCAAGGCATCGGTCTCTTTGAAATTTACAGAAGGTAAGTGGACGACACTTTCGTTATCTGCGATAGGAACGTAATTCTCGATGATGTCTTGTTTGTATTCAACAACTGCCATCCTTCTTTAGAATACACCATAGAAAAGCAATCTGAACTAAGCACTCCCTTTCTTTAACGTGTGCCTTAGTAGATGCAATGACAGATCTCTCAAAAGATCCACCCACTGAAAATGTACATGAAATGAACAACTAACTAATTTTTATAGTTGGGTGCCTATTTCCAGGAAAAGGAACCTAATTCATTCGTTCTGCTTTAGGATGAAAGAAACATTTGTAGTTCTGATTGCGTTGACTCAGAACTTGACTTCCTAAAAGCCACACTCGCAGAAAACAGTTAACCGAACCGATTTATTGACAGCAACACGTAAGATAAGCAGTCTAAATTGGTCACCCACTCATTTCCAAAGAAAACCTTATTCTAAGAACTTGGAATTCAAAGGTGAACAGACTTCAGATATGCTAAGAACCCATCTCTAAGTCAGTCAGTAAGGCGTTCTTAGCAGCAAAATTGCAAATGACATTCACCAGCTGTAAGTTGTTCTCCATCTCTGCAAAACAAAATGAACTCCCCTGTCTGTCCACCTCCATATGCATGTATATCAGTTCACCTGTGCTCCTCTTGTGGACCAAGGTACATTGACCATAGCTAGAGAACACCGATTAGCACACGGTTAGGAGAACATATTCCAGGCAGTAGCATGGTTTTACAAGGGAGAAAGGGGGAGTGTGCGAATCTCTATTCTAAAATCGCCTGATTGACTCCTGTCAAATCTACCAACCTCAAGCGGGATTTTAAGAATACGCCATATAATTTATTTTTAATGTTTATTTTTGCGTGTTTTCTTTCCCCTAGAAATTACCTTGACAGTTCATATTCTTTAACCTCTTTTCCCCTCTCTCTCTGTCTCTCTGTCTTCTCTATTATGCACCACATATATGTATACATCGAATCTGCAGTAATAAATCTAGCGTAAACAGTTCACCTATCCCATTGCCTACTACTTCTACTAGTGTTACAGATAATTTATCCTCTTCTGTACAAGTAACTACGAAAAATAGTCTTTCATCATCAAATACAAAAAAGAAAAAACCACGATTGAATTTAACCCGTGAAACGTTGAATAATAACAATAATAATAATGGTGGACCACCGGTTAAGTCTACAAATCTCTGCTTAGGACCAAATTGTAGTCGAACGATTAATCCTCAAGTAAGTTGATTATTCATTTAACTCTCGTTTTATCTCCACCGTTATGATTTATTTATATCTAGTAATGCTGGCGCTCCTAGTAAGCCGAACGCTTTGACGATGTCTGTAGATTGATTAAGAAGGTGGTATTTTGGTTTTTTTTTATTATTATTATTTCCTTTAATTCCTAAAGGAACATAGAGCTTCAGCCGTTAGTCTCCATTGCGTTCGGTTCTCTGACCAACGTTTTCACCTAGCTGCAAGTCTGCCCACACGCTTTCATCTCCTGTTCACATGACCTCCTCCAAGTCACCCTCATGCTGACGACCAACTCGCCGCTTCCCTTTCAGGTTCCACTCGAAGCCTTGTTTAGTGATATCAGAGTATGGCAAATGCATCTCCATTTCTTCCTGCCTATTTGTTGCACATCTGGTTCCTGCTGGGTTGGTTCGTTCATTGCCAAAGATCCCTCACTGTTGCTGATCTTTTCTGGCTGGTCATCTGATCTTGAGTAGTGTTGAGCGAAGACATCAGTTGATGAAGGTCTGTAGTTTGTTTGAGATGCTCTTTATGACGCGCTAGCTAAGTCTCTGATCCGTGTAGTAGAACTGACTGACTTCACATTGAAGTTGAAAATCCGGATCTTATTTTTCATGCTGATTACTGAGTGTTGATCTCCAAGCAGGCTTGAGAGTAATGAAAGCTTGCTTTGCTCTTCCCATCCTCGCCTTGATATCCTCATCAGTTCCGTTCACCTGTAGTTGAAATGATGCTTCCCAAGTAGGGTAGGTGAAGGAGGTTGCTTCTTTCAGATTTCTCCCATTTCTGCTGATGTTGTCTGTTGTTGTTGCTGTTGATGTTGGCCAGGAATCTTCATCACCACCTCTGTTTCTCTCTATGTTCACCTGAAGGCCTATCTTCTCTGGATGCTTCTTCTGTCAGCTTGCTGCTTTTCATCACTTGCATATCTTCTAGTTTGTGGGAAATCAGACATATATCATCAGCGAAGTCCAGATCCTCCAAGTTTTTTGTGTGAGTCCATTTAATGCCTGTTTCCTCACTGCATTATTCAATCAGGAAAATCATTGGAGATAGTAAGCAGCCAGCCATCTGGTCTTACTCCCGTCTTCACTTCGAAGGTTTCCGTGAGTTTCCCAGCATGCAGCATTGTCGTACAACTGTTGGATGAGTTGTATAATTGTCGATGGCACCCCATAGTAACGAATTAGTTTCCCTCGATTGACGCTGCGCTATCAAAGGCCTTTTCAAAGTCGATGAAGTTGAGAGAGAGGTAGATAGCTGACTGCCATTCCAAGCTTTGTTAAATGATGATCCGTAGTGTGGCGATTTGATTAATACATGATTTTAGTTGATGTTGGCTAGTACATGCATTTCGTCCAATTTGTGACTCGTCAGTTAGTTATAACTGGGATCCTCAATGAATGAGGGAGTGAGTGACTTCTCCATTATTTCAACAGACAAAGAGTTATTCACCTGTTGTGAGTCTCAGGGGAAAACATCAATCATTGGAGATGCAGGTACGTCCAGCTGACGGGTCATAAATAGGACGAAGTGCCTATCGTGAATTCTACTGCTGAAAACCAGAAACTGTGTAATGCGATTGTCTAACAAGAACGAAGTGTTTCCCTCTATTTTGAAAGTCAAGGGGATAACAAAATTCTCGGCCTGTGAGGTAATACCAGTTTTGTTAAGATGAATTTTAAACTACTTATTATTTAATAGTAGTATATATTGTTCTGCGTTTTGAGTTTCACGTTGAAGCTATTCCATAAAGATTAATATATCGGTAGTATTTTAATATATGCTGCAAATAGTGAAAACTTGATCCATCTGGATGGAAATTGGTCGCGAAGTCGACAGAGTGACTTTGACATGTTTGAATTCTTTTTCACCCGTCTAATGTAACCGACACTTGTGATTTAAATGAGCGGTGTTGAAACTATCTAAACTGTCTGTGGTGGTACACATTGGACAATCTTTTCTTATTTTGCTCACCACTCAACGATCTCCTCAGTGTATCTCTGGTCCATCTTCATATTGTCTTTCTGTCTGTTTTCGACATAGAACTTTCCACCGATGTGCGCCAGTTCAAGTCGCCACACTCCTCCATGTAGCACACAAAGTAATAGAAGAAAGTACAAGAAAGGCATAATAGAGACAGTAAGCAGAGGTGTGAGACAAAGGAATAGTAATAACGAAGAACGAAACAGTTTCATTGGAAATCATAAATCACAAGGAGTGGATGCATCTGCGCTAGCCACTGAGAACGATTTTGAGTCATATCACCAATTGTTTCCAACCATTGATTTTTACCGTCCCGAGGACCCCAGCCAGCCAAGAAGGATACACCTTCCTACGTGGCTGACTGGCTTAAACTAACTGTTGTAGATTTCATTGACTGATGAAGCCATGTTTTGGTTTGACCGCCGCTAGCTTTTTTCCAGCCTGATCCTATATCCGCTAACATTGCTCGTCGAGGAAGGTGATGACTTGGCGTACGTAACACATCTTCATATAACTCTTGCATGGATGTTGGGCAATAGGTTCTTGATTGATTCGTTGCTCCATAGTGTCTTGTTGAAGTTCCTCTCCGACCTGTCTGATGCTCGGGTAGGCTTCGCGTGCTTTCGGAAGTGTGTGGGCGGTTGTTACTTCCCGGCTGCCCACACCGTGGAGTGTGGTTGAATCTTCGGGTACCTGAAACAGAAAGAGGGTTAGTGTTGCGTGACCGCAGAACCCAGGGGACAACTGCTTGAGTCAGGCCGGTCACACACGGCCTGTATGAATTTTTTTCTTAGTTTGGTTCCGTATTAGTAAACTTACCGTCCGTTACGGGCCACCGGAGGGTAAGTCGGGATGTACAGTAGTTGGGATCGACCTTTTTTAACCCCTTCTCTCCAGAGTGCAGAGACAGCTTAGCTGGCTGGCATTCTGGTCATCTGAGGGAAACACGTCACTGCTGTTACATCCCTGTTCCTCAGTGGCAGTACGACTTCGCCCTCAGACCCCCAGCATAGTGTAAAAAAGAAAAAAAAATACACTCCACCGGTAACTGCTTTAAGTCTAATCGCTATCCTAACAACCTTCCTGGTATGGTAAGACCTACAGGAAAATTGGTTCCAGCCAGTGCGGCTCTTTGGGTCATCGCGATGTGCATGCCCAACCACCACGTCAAGGTAGCAGCTATCTGTCGAGTGTGTGTGTGTGTGTATAAGAAATGTTTTCAGTAAAATTTGTTAATTGTCATTTTCTTTTCCTTACCATACCACATTATAGATTAGTCTGTATTGTGGCAATAAATGTCTTAAAGCTTATGGAATGAATGTACTTCGGATTGTATGTGGAAAACACGAATTAGACTCGCATGACAAATCGGTGAGTAGTTGGTTTAGTATTATTGCTTCTACGTATGCATATATCAGCTTTCTTGTATGCCTTGTATTTCTAATTATATAATTAATTGTTGTGACTGTGTTTATGAATCAAATTTAGATAATAATTGAACGATATCGTAAATTCATCCATATCTTTAAATATAATAGAAAAATATTTTATAGCTGAGGCTGATGATTTTGTGATATAGTAGCGTAGCGTACTCTGAGCTGGGTGGTCTATAATTGCGAAGCTTTCATTGTCCTACACTTTTAGACATCTTCAAGATATACTTTATTCGTCTAGGAATTCTCTGACATTTTTGACTGGACACTAGTCAGTAATTAGTGTAATGTGTCTAGTCCTTTCTTTGATGCAGGGGGAATTCTGTCAGTTAGTCGACTTTGCAATGTGGCCACCATGCCACTAGGTGGCTCACAATCACGGTGCACTGTAAATTGTTTGTATTAGAGATGATTAGAGGCAATCGACAGGAGGAGGTCAATCGCACACCTGAATAGCTCATTGGTAACATCTCTGACTGCAGTACTCACTGAGGGGCGCGGGTTTGGATCTCAGAAGCTAAATGAGTTCCTCCAAGGTTTGGAGATACGCTTTGCTGATGAGTACCGGCTAGCACGAAACCAACAATTCTGTGCTATTCGTAATGTTTCTACTGTGTAAAATTGGTATAGATTTTCCCAGTCAAATTGTAACACATAGCCGTCTATATATATATATTCATCGATATTTTAAGGAACGCATGTGTCTTTCGACGGTTAGTTTATGTTCGTGAAGTGGGAGTCGAATAGGTCACCCAGTAGTATAGAGTACTGCTTATCACACATTTCATGCAGTGTATTTTGTAGATATTGCCTATTGTGTCCTTGTTTTGCTGTTTGGCCCTCTGTCTGTCTGTTTTCGACATAGAACTTTGCACCGATGTGCACCAGTTCAAGTCGCCACACTCCCTCCTTGTACCACACAAAGCAAGAGAAGAAAGTAGAAGAAATGCATAATAGAGAGAGTAAACAGAAGTGTGAGACAAAGGAATAGTAATAACGAAGAACAATATAGTTTCATTGGAAATCATAAGTCACACAGAGTGGATGCATCTGCACCAGCCATCATCGAGAAATATATTGAGCCATATCACCAATTGTTTCCAACCTTCATTGGTTTTTACCGTCCCGTGGACCCCAACCAAGAAGCCAGTCTACACCTTCCTACGTGGCTGGCTGGCTTAAACTAACTGTTGTAGATTTCATTGACTGATGAAGCCATGTTTTGATTTGACCACCGCTAGCTCTTTTCCAGCCTGACCCAATGTCAACTAATATTGCCCGTCCGTCGAGGAAGGCGATGACTAGGCATACGTAACACATATCCATCTCAATCGGTGTAACTTCACAGCCAAGTCATGTAAGCCCCGTCGATTGATGTCCCGTTCTTACCTAGCACTCGACGCCTAACCTCAATATTGCTCACCCTAAAACTTGACATGGGTGATAGAGCACGGGCACCTATGATCAAAGAAAGCTAATCTTTTCATGTCTTCCACTCTCAATGGCCACGTCTCTGTCACAGCCATAAAGGAGGACGGAGCGGACTGTTGAGCAGTTTGCTGTTTGGCTGGGTCTTTTGGGTCTGCTCAGCATTGAATGAAGAGATTATGTCCAGTGACAAGAGATGCAATTATACACCGTGCATGGAGAATTCGAATAAGGTCACACACTTCGATATAAGGATGAAAACTTGGTCACTGTGGGAGAGTATAATTCTATTATAGATCAAATTTTATTTTCAATAAAGTCATACAGTACTCAACAGTAATATTTACTGATGACTACGTTTCGAGTACAATGTATTGCTGCTCATAATCATATCAAGGCACTGCTCACACAAATTTCTTGCCTCATGTATATACATAAATGAAAATTGATTAGATATTTGAATAAAAATCAACATAAGATAAAGTACATTCAAAAATAATAATATGAGTGTTATCAATCAAATACAATCAGATGGGAAATAAGAAGCTTTCATAGTAGAAATAAGTAACTTTGAATAAAGCAAGAACAACAGTAGTTTGCGCAGAATAAAATGTTACCATCATTGCTCATTTCGTTGGCTTCTCATCAGCTCAGCTGCTTACATTCCGAAGTCGTTATTAAGTAGTATATCTACAGAAACAGTTTTAACATACTTGGACAGAGAGTTTGTTTTGAACAAAAAAACTCAGTCAGTATATGCATACAGTAATAATATATATGTAATAATAATAAACATTATTCGACATTACGTAATCAGATGAAAGAGAGATGAAAATATCAAGTTACCAGGTCAAAGAGGGACTAATAACCGCTTCTTTCTGAATGCATAAATCAGGTTTCAGGCTCTTGATAGCGATGGTTTCAGCATACTTGAGGAGAATTGAACTCGGGTATTTCGTTGTGTTCAGTTACACCCTGAAGGTGGGTAATATAATAATAATAATAATTTGCTTTATTCCAAAACAGTACTTGTGATACAGAATGGAATTCTCAGCATTTCACTACAGTATTCCATCGCGTTATTACATTATCAATAAATAAAATTCTACATAGATTAAGGGTAATCTCAGTTAGTTTTTGACAACAACATATTGGCATGTCGGTAGCGAAGCCGAAGTTGAACAGGGTGTTTGAAGGTGTAGTAGATACTACTAGCATATTTATTGGCGTAAGCGGTAACAAAAGGTCGAGATATAAAGAGTGTGAAAGAACAAAGAAGAATGTTTTAAATAGAGTTTGTAAGGAAGAGAGAAACAAAACAGCACATAACAAAAAAAGAGAAAAATAAAGGAAAGAAAGAAAACGTTGTACCTATAAATGATGATATGAGTTGGAAAGACAAGATCCAATTGTTCCACTGATTATTTAACAAGTTATAAGTTTCACGCCTAATGCTTTCTTTATCGCACGGAACACGAACTAAGTAGGGTATGGTTGAGTTTTTGTACTTGTTAGTGCGGGCATATAGTTTCCTATGTAGGCTTCTGGTTTGCCTACCTGATGAGATACAAGGGGAGAGTTGTGAATGCAAAGGGTGGTGTGAGTTAGATAGAGTGGATTTAGCCCATTTTTCAGATGAATCCAAGTGCCTGTCGATCAGAGTATTAACAAGCTGGTCGAGTGGGACGTTGCTTATCCTGCTGACAACCTTTAACATCCTGTGTAATAAGATATAGTCCTTCTTCAGTAGCCCTGGAAAGGGGATCAATAGAGAATAACAGACAGGATGCAAGAGTTAACAAATCGTAAGAGTAAGGGATGGGTTATTCCAGAATGTCTTAACTTCTTGATGTAGAAAGTAAGACGGAATATTTTCTTAGAAATCGCCAAGATATGAGAAGACCAGGAAATATCAGCAGATAGAACGACGCCAAGATATTTAATTTCCGACTTGGTCTCTATTTCAGTGACATCTATTTATGTTGCATACCTCGCGTGAGTGTTAACCAGTTTGTTTAGGACAGATTTATGCCTAAAGATGAAATTGACTGTTTGGCATTTGGAGGGATTTAAGGTAAGACCGTTTTCCTTGGACCATTGTCTGATTTCTGATAAAAAGCCATTTAGTTTGGACCAGTCACTTTGACATTTGCCGATTGATAATTTTGAACGATCTTGATACGTCCACCACATGACCCGTGTGAAGGAGATACCTGTTGATGGCACTGTTTAAAGCATTTGTTCCCTTTAAACATCTCCTTGACACGGGTCATGAGGTGGACGTCGTAAGATCGTTCAAAATTATCAGTAGGCAAAAGAGGTCAATTCTCCTGAAATTTGCCGAAGCGATCTCCATCAAGCGCCTGAAAGCTGATTTATGAATTCGAAAAGAATCGGTTATCAGTCTTTCTTTGCCCTGGTAACCGCTTATTGTCAATCTCTCTTTCATCTGATTACGTAATGGTGAAAGTTTCCATTGTGTATGATTATTATTGTTCGGGGTAAAGTGTTTATTATTATATGTATTATTATTGTATGCATACATCGATTAATTTTTCCTAAAAAATGAACTCTGCGTGCAAGTATGTTAAAAAAGTTTCTGTAGATATACTTAATAATGATTTGCAATTAATAGTGTTCTCTGAGTTGGTTGGTTTAGTTGCGGAGCTTTCGTCGTCCTTTCTGGACAACATCTCCATTCAGCGCAGTATTTAGCATAAAGTTATGTTGATGTTACATTTGTAATGATTAAGAGAAATGATTTAAAATGTACCTATAAATTAATAAACAACATATTTGAAGACATCAAATTCACAAGAGAAGAAAAAATAGACGATAACAAAATCCGATTTTTAGATGTTTTAATCAGGAGAACTAAAACAGGAAATTTAGAAACACAAATGTATATAGAAAATCAACGCCTACACACAGATCAAATACTCAACTATACTAGCAATAATCCAATTACTCACAAAAGAAATTGTGTGTAGACATTGTTTAAAAGAGAGTTCAAACACACTGTAGCACTCCAGCGTTGAAAAGAATAGAAGAAAAATACCTACCAGCCAATCGTCTTCAAGAAGAATGGTTATCCAAAAAATTTCATCAAAAAGTGTTAAAAGTCGAATCAAAGCACCAACAAAGAACCGTCATCACAGACCAAAAGGAAATTCATCCTACCATACATGAGAAATATCTCTGAAATAATAGCTAGAATAATGAAACCGTTTGATATAGACATAGCACACAAGCCAGCCAGTCAAATCGCTCAATTCATTATTATGCAAACTGAAAGATCAGGCCAACAGAAAAAGGTGATAAAATTAATACCATTTACAAAATAAATTGTATGAACTGTAATAGGCATTACATCGGCCAAAGTGGGCGTCCCCTTCGAATTAGAATCCAAGAACACAAATCAGCCGTGAAAAGACACGATATATATTCTTTAGTATCAATGTATATAGACAATTATGGACATCAATTTGATGAGTGGGATAATGTCAAAATCTTAGACAGAGGAAACACTAGAAGTGCAGTCAGGGAATTCCTCGAAACCTGGTACTCAAATGAAAATGCAATTAACAAACACGGTAATATCGACCAAATATACCAACTAATAATGTAAAAATGGTTACCGGAGACGCAATTCTATCACTCATGAAGAAATTTAAATCATTTCAATTTATGCTAATTATTGCGCTGAATGGGGATGTTGTCCAAAAGGGGGACGAAAGCTCCGCCGCAACTAAACCAACCAGCACAGAGAACACTACCAATTGCAAATCATCCACATGAGCTACAAATCTTCTCTATTATACTTAATAATGACTTTGGCCTGTAAGCCGCAGCTGAGCTGATGAGAAGCCAATGAAATAAGTAAGCAATGATGGTACCATCTTCTTATTCTGCACAAACCCCACACACTGTTGTTCTTGTTTTATTCAAATTCATTAAGGCGGGGGGGGAATAAATGTATGAAATTCATAAAGTAATTGTTGTTTCATGTGTAATGTTCCGTCTTTTCCTTTGGCTTCTATTTTTTTTCTTTTATACTCAAGAATCGTGAAAACCGCGTAGTGGATACGCGTAAACCCCTAGTTGTCTTAGATCGTAAAAGTGGTACAGTATTGAATGGTACAAGGGCACCAACTAGTGATACATTGATTGAATTTCTCTCGGCTCATCCAACATATCAGGTAAGGCGTGCAGTTTGGTTTTTGTATATATATATACATTTATCTGTTGATAATTTTTTTGTGTTGTGATTCTATTTCCCCTTTTTGTCTGGTAAATTTACCGGTTACTCTTGTTACAATTTAATTGGTGAATGGTGACTAGCAGTGGAATCCAGGATAACGCGCATTTCGTCCTATTTGGGACTCGTTCTCCAGCTGGATGTACCTGCATTTCCCAGTGGGTGGTGATGTTCCCACTGAGGCTTGTTCGATTGGTGTAGGCGATCGGCAAGAAGATATGAACCTAGCCTTCGTACCTGTTATCACAGTCAGTAAGAAGTATCTTCAATCTTGAGGCTCGAAACCTTAGCATCATCCAGTACTGCAGCTAGAGACATTAATTTACCACTGATCTATTCGGGCTTACAATTGAATAGTTGTCAGACTGTAAAGGAAGTAGTGTAACAAAAGAAGACAAGGGCCAGGCAACAGATCGTTTTATTATGAAAATCAACACGTATTTATACATATTTCAACTACATTATTATAGACAAGCGCAGTCATCTGATTGGTTGTTTAGGTAGACAAACGCAGGCTTCTGATTGGTTGTTTCGGGATTCCTTGACAAATAGAGTTCTCTCTGCGAATCATATTTTGCCACGTTAACTTTGCTGTGATTGGTTGTTGACTCAGGCTTGTTCATATTTTCTCACGGCCCATATTAGTGACCTAGACCTTAACGTAGATTAGTGCCAACCAATCGGCTAGCAGCCTGCTCTCACCACAGTAGTAACTAATGTCAGGCGTCAACAGTTCAGGAGGGAGGCACCTTTAATGGCGAGCCACCTAGCATGGTGGTCGCATTGCAAACTTTACTGAGAGAATGTATTGATCCTTTGTTTGTTCGATTATACAGGCATGGATGTACATAGGTACGTTTCTGAATAATAGCCTTAATCCTGGAAGATATCTTTGTCCAGGAGCAAGAGAAGATTGTCACTATCATCGATGGTGTTCCTGATCGTGGTAGACTAGATCATGGGATGCAGGAAGGATAGTCTTATTGTGGGCTTTGTACTTCACTGATAGGTTATCTTTAATGTCACACAAACTTCAAGGCTTACAGGTGAGATCCAAGAAACTGGTAGAAGAGGTTGGCAGCGGAGACAGGAACATTAGGTGAAGAATATTAAGAAGACAGAAGTGGTGAAGATACCTAGTCACCGTCAGCAACAACAACGGCTGCAAGCAGCAATCGGCGAAGTTCCACAGCAGCGTCCCAGGATAGTGAACACTCAAGTGACTTTGAACGTATGCTAGTCATTGGCTGACGGCACCTCTTATTATGATAGCTGGAATAATATTCACCAACTAGGCAGAAAATTTCACCCAGATCACGTTTTTAAGTACTGTTTTGACAATGTGTTATTAATAGCTCGTTAGGATTAGGATCAGAGTTATAATTAGGATTAGGGTTAGTTAGGTCTGCTGTCAGGATAAGTGTTGTAATTAGTGTTAGGATTAAGTGTTAAGTTTTTAGGGTTAGGGTTACCATTATGAATAGATTTATAGTTGATGTCTCATTTATTTTTAATTTGTTTTATTATCCACATTTTCATGGTAAGCAGTCGTTGATCCGATTACTGGGAACCATGGTAATTCAACCGAGGATTTTTTGGGAGAAGACTATGCAACTGGATAAGAGAGATAAATAATTCACAAAAACAGCTGATATCTTTAGTCGCCTTGGTGAATACATATATGTACAGAAATTGGTCTAATTTAGCAACTGGATACTCTTCATTATAACTAGGACGTTATTTTTAAGTCATGTATCAGAGAAAGATAACCTGTTCAATGTGTTTTGGAGCATTTTCTTGTGACTATTATATACGTCATTTTTTGTGTGCAAAAGTCACTTATTTTTATGATTGGTCGGCTGAAGGTCACTCGTGCTCTTCCACTCATAGGACGCTATTGTTGAACTCTGCCCATCAATCAACATCAACGAGAGAAACGTGAGGGTGGTGTTAACCTCCTTCACTTATGTAGGCAGAATTGGGAAAGCAACACTGAACGATAAGAAGAAGACTTAGTTTATCCGAAACGTCGTGTAATGTATTGGCGCAACACATTTCGGACATTCTGATCACACACACCCGGATACTTGTCATACACAGTTTTTATAGAAGGCAAGAAGACATGAATAATTACAATACAGGTCAGATTGTATACAGGTCAAGGTCACAAAATAATGGGTAGGGAGACGCAAAAGGTGTGGATAAGAAGGTGTTGAAAATATTATGAAGTAAAATTGGTCCTTGGTTCTAAGTTGGATTATCAAGGCAGATTTAAGGTGATAAAAAATAACTTTTGGACACATAAGACAGACAGATTTAAGTCTTTTGATGGCCACCAAGGCTTCAATGAATTTAAGTATGTGACCCGATCTTGTCTTATATATCGGCTTAAAGGCATTTTTAAAATCAACCTTATGACCCGTCTCTATAATATGCTTCGCTATAGATGATGTTGGACATCTATTTCCGGGGTCAAATTGTATCTAGCAATTTTATTTGTTGTTGCAGCCACTTTGGAATGTGTTCTGTAGCCCTAACATGCAGAGACCCATCGGTCTCTCTTATATAAAAGACTGTGTATGACAAGTACTCGTGTGTGATCAGATTGTCCGAAATGTGTTGCACCAATACATTATACGTTTCAGATAAACTACGTCTTCTTATTGTTTTGTCGAAATTCATAAAGGGAACTAATTGCTTTAAAAGCAAGACTGACCTTTATCAGTCTGAAATCAATGTGAAGTCTTCTGTATACAGGATAAAGAACAAGATTCAGATTTTCAGCACCGATGTCCAATCGGTCAGTGTTTCTATATGGCTCGGGGACTGATTTGGCAAGTGCATCACGAAGAGCATTTCCAACAGCCTGGTGCAGGCTTATATCAACTGTTGCTTTCACTGTATACTGTACGAAGATCAAATGGTTAGTTGGGAAGGCTTATCAATAAGAAACTATGACACGCGCAGCGAATTTATTGATGAACCTAACAAATATACAGAAGGAAATGGATATCGATTGGGGATAGGCTGAAGAGACTGTTGTAACGTGAAGGAGATTGTGTGGAGAGGAGATGAGAAGCTATGGGGAAACGTGGAGCAAGTTGACAGAAGAAGCATCAAAGATAGAACTTCAGGTGAACATAGAGAAAACAGAGGTACCTGATGCAGATTCTTGGCTGACAGCAACAGCAACAACAACAGACAAACAATCATCCAGCATAAGTGGTGTGGTGAGAGCAGGCTGCTGCCTGTAAGAGACTCTTCATCAAATCATTCTGTAAAAAGTTCATTTGATCTTACAGAAATGCTGGACACATTGAACATTAAGGAAAAGGTTGTGTGTTCAATTGACATAGAATCTTTACTTGGAGGATCTGGACTTCGCCGATGATATATGTCTGATTTCTCATAAACTGGAAGATATGCAAGTGAAAAACAACAAGCTGCCAGAAGAAGCATCAAAGATAGGAATTCAGATCAACATAGATAAAACAGAGGTGATGAAGATTCCTGGCCAACAGCAACACCAACAACAACAACAGACAACAATCAGAATAAATGGGAGAAACCTCAAAGAAACAATCTCCTTCATCTACCGACCTGGGAAGCATCGTTGCAACTACAGGCGAGCGGAACTGACGAGGATATCAAAGCAGCGACAATCGGTAAAGCAGGGTAAGCTTCCATTACTCTCAAGTCTGTGTTGAGATCAACACTCAGAAATCAGCATGAAAAATAAGGTGCGGATTTTCAACTCCAATGTCAAGTCAATCAGTGCTACTTTATGGATCAGAGACATGGTACCGCGTCATGAAGGCCACTTCGAACAAACTACAGGCCTTCATCAATAGCTGCCTTCGCTCAATACCTCTAAAGATCAGATGGACGGAAAAGAACAGCAACAGTGAGGGATCTCTGTCAATAAGCGAACCAACACATCATGAACCAATTGTGCAACAAATATTTAGGAAGAAATGGAGGTGGATTGGTCACCATGTAACAACAGAAGACAAGGGCCAGGCAACAGATCGTTTTATTATGAAAATCAACACGTATTTATACATCTTTCAACTACATTATTATAGACAAGCGCAGTCATCTGATTGGTTGTTTAGGTAGACAAACGCAGGCTTCTGATTGGTTGTTTCGGGATTCCTTGACAAATAGAGTTCTCTCTGTGAATCATATTTTGCCACGTTAACTTTGCTGTGATTGGTTGTTGACTCAGGCTTGTTCATATTTTCTCACGGTCCATATTAGTGACCTAGACCTTAACGTAGATTAGTGCCAACCAATCGGCTAGCAGCCTGCTCTCACCACACTCGTCCCCCCGTCAAATACGTGCGACTGATGTCGGCTTGATCTACTTGGTGCAGGCGTCATCGTTGGCTTGTCTCGCTGTATCCATTTCTGGAGCTCGCTGACGTTCACGCGCCTCTCATTGTTCGCCATTGCGACTGTGTCTGCGTAACCCCATCTCGAAGTGACCATATATGGTCCTTCCCACTTTGGAAACTGTTTGCCTGACCCTGTCGAACATTCATCCATACTTCGGCCCACCCCTTCATGTGCTGCTTTCGCCCGACCTCCCAGCAGCGTCTCAAGTAGCAGCTCCATCGCTGACAGATCTTGAACGCCACTCAACTGCGCAGAAGCCTTGAAGTCCTGCCCGAAGATCCATATGTCTCCATCAAAAACTGCAGGGTATAGGCTTTTCATTTGTCGGTAGGCAGCGACACCAAATGTAACAACAGAAGACAAGGGCCAGGCAACAGATCGTTTTATTATGAAAATCAACACGTATTTATACATCTTTCAACTACATTATTATAGACAAGCGCAGTCATCTGATTGGTTGTTTAGGTAGACAAACGCAGGCTTCTGATTGGTTGTTTCGGGATTCCTTGACAAATAGAGTTCTCTCTGCGAATCATATTTTGCCACGTTAACTTTGCTGTGATTGGTTGTTGACTCAGGCTTGTTCATATTTTCTCACGGCCCATATTAGTGACCTAGACCTTAACGTAGATTAGTGCCAACCAATCGGCTAGTAGCCTGCTCTCACCACAACCATACTATGAAAAAGCAAACCTTCAAGTGAGTGAGACACCACATGCCGGGCCATTCCTCGAGTGAAACCCGAATGGGAAGTGGCGAGTTGGTCGTCAGTGTGAAGGTGACATTTAGGAGGGTGGTGATGTGATGAGGAGATGAAAGCATGTGTGCAAACATGAAACCAGGTGAAAACGTTGGCAGAGAACCGATCTCAATGGAGATGTGCGGCTGTAACCTTTTGTTCCTCTAAGAACCGAAAAAAACACCATTAGGTGTTTTTTTTTGTGTAACGGTGAGTAATATGAAAGATAAAAGAAAACTTTTAGTCTAGTACACAGATCTTGTGTACACTATAGAGAAAAATGCAGTATACATTTCAGCTGTAGTCATTTTTCATGCATGTTATATTGTTATACTTCATCGAATAGTTTTTCTCCGCTAAATTTTCAGGTTGTCTACAATCGTCAGTTGAATGAAAAATCTCAGAAATCACAGTCACTAAATCTATCAAGCAAAGATTCTGGACAAAACGAAGGTATTTTTTTTATAACTTAATTATATAACGTTTAAATATTCTGCTATTCGTATTGTTTGTCCGTTATTTTCTGATTTTGAGGGGAGCAACCCAAAAAGTTGCTTCTCTCTAAACTTTTACTTAATGTAATCATTCTTTTCTCAGGCGTGAGGCTAGCAACCCCACCCTGTAAACAAAAATTGCTAAAGAAACTTCAGTATGATGAACCTCTTTGCACCAAAAGAAAAAGTCTGTGTAGGAACATGGAACGTCCGAACTATGTACGAGACTGGGAAAGCTGCCCAGATCGCCAACGAGATGAAAAGATACGGAATACAAGTGCTGGGAATATGTGAGAGCAGATGGAATGGGAGTGGACTCACCAAATTGTCAACAGGTGAGTCAGTGATCTACTCCGGTCACCCAGAAGATAACCACACGCACACCGAGGGCGTGGCTATCATGATGTCACCAACGGCAACGAAAGCCCTGATACAATGGGAGGCGATTTCGTCCAGGATAATGACCGCCAGGTTCAACTCCAAAGGAAGGAAAGTGTCAATCATACAATGTTATGCACCCACAAACAACGCAGACCTCGAGAAGAAAGAAGAATTCTACAGGCAACTACAGGCAACAATGGACAATACTCCAGCTGGCGACATGAAAATACTAATGGGAGACATGAACGCCAAACTGGGACCAGACAATACGGGAAGGGAACTCATCATGGGTAGAGAAGCTCTAGGAGAAATGAATGAAAACGGAGAACTCTTCGCCGACTTCTGCGCCTTCAACGAACTGGTGATTGGTGGCAGTGTATACAAGCACAAAGATATCCACAAGGCTACATGGGTGTCACCAGACGGGCAAACCAAAAACCAAATCGACTTCATCTCAATCTCAAGGAAGTGGAGGCGCAGCCTACTGGACACAAAAGCAAGAAGAGGAGCAGACGTTGGCTCAGACCACTATCTCGTACAAGGGACAATCCAAATCAAATTAAAAGCTTTCAGGGAATCAGGAGCTGCAGATAGACCACAAGCCAAGTTCAACACTCAAAAGCTGAAGGACCAGGCTACAAAGGACATCTTCATTGCAAGCATAAAGGACAAAGCCGAGACACAAATCAACACTAGCGAAGAGGTCGGCGTTGAAAAGCACTGGAACAACTTGAAAACGGTGTGGAGCCAAACCTGCATAGAAATTCTAGGCAGAAAAAAGAGACAGGACAAACAGTGGCTCACTACGGACACTTGGAAACTAATAGAAGAGAGAAGGACAGTGAAGCAAAAGATTATCCAGTGCACTGACGAGCAACAAAAACAGGAGCTGAATGCAAGCTACAATACACTGAACAAAAGAGTGAAGAAAAGTGCCAGGGAAGACAAAAGAAAATATTATGAAACCATGGCAAACGAAGCAGAACAAGCTGCAGGCAAAGGAGACCTCGCCACACTCTACCAAACAACTAGGAACCTTTCGGGCAAACGTTCGACACAGATTAAGCCAATAAAGGACGACAATGGAAAGTCAATCACCAAAGAGGTGGAACAGAGAAAGCACTGGGTTGAACACTTCAAAAGACTTCTAAATCGTCCGCCACCTACAACACGTCCAGCAATACCAACAACGGAAGCAGAACTACCAGTGAACACTGACCCCCCGACGAAATCAGAAGTCCTGAATGCAATCAAGATGCTTAAAACTGGGAAAACACCGGGACCAGATGGAATCCCAGCAGAGGCTTTGAAAATAGACCCAGAGACAACAGCGGACTTGATGACACCACTGCTGGAGAAGGTGTGGAAAGAGGGCAAAGTACCCGAGGATTGGAAGAACAGTTACTTATTCAAACTTCCAAAGAAAGGAGACTTAAGTCAATGTAAAAACTGGCGTGGAATTATGCTTCTGTCCATTCCAAGCAAGATACTAAGTCGCATCATCCTGGAGAGAATCAAACAAGCCCTAGATGAAAAACTTCGTCCGGAACAGGCTGGATTCAGGAGAAACAAATCATGTATTGATCAAATCGCCACTCTACGGATCATCATTGAACAAAGCTTGGAATGGCAGTCACCTCTCTATCTCAACTTCATCGACTTTGAAAAGGCCTTCGACAGCGTCGATCGAGAGGTCATTTGGAAACTACTTCGCTACTACGGGGTCCCATCGACAATTATACACCTCATCCAACAGTTATACGACAATGCTGCATGCCAAGTAATCCACAACGGGAAACTTACGGAAGCCTTCGAAGTGAGGACGGGAGTGAGGCAAGGCTGTCTACTATCACCAATGATCTTCCTGATTGCAATTGATTGGATAATGCGACAGACAACGGCAACCAACGAGGGAACAGGCATAAAATGGACTGACACAAAAGACTTGGAGGATCTGGATTTCGCCGATGATATATGTCTGATTTCCCATAAACTGGAAGATATGCAAGTGAAAAGTAACAAGTTGGCAGAAGAAGCATCAAAGATAGGACTTCACGTGAACATAGATAAAACAGAGATGATGAAGATTCCTAGCCAACATCAACAACACAACAGACCACAATAAGCATAAATGGGAAGAACCTGAAAGAAACAACCTCCTTCACCTACCTGGGAAGCATCGTCTCAACTACAGGCGGAACTGACGAGGACATCAAAGCCAGAATCGGAAAAGCAAGACAAGCTTTCATTACTCTCAAATCTGTGTGGAGGTCAACAGCAATCAGCATCAAAAATAAGATCCGGATTTTCAACTCCAATGTGAAGTCAGTGCTACTATACGGATCAGAGACTTGGCGAGTCATAAAGAGCATCTCAAACAAACTTCAAACCTTCATTAACAACTGTCTCCGCTCAATACTCAAGATCAGATGGCCAGAAAAGATCAGCAACAGGGATCTCTGGGAGCGAACCAATCAGGAACCGATTGTGAAACAAATAGGCAGAAAGAAATGGAGATGGATTGGCCATACGCTGAGGAAACCATCAAGTGACATCACTAGACAAGCCCTCGAGTGGAACCCGAAAGGGAGGCGGCGAGTTGGTCGTCCAAGGGTGACTTGGAGGAGGTCATGCGAGGAGGAGATGAAAGCATGTGGACAGACCTGGAGCAGGGTGAAAAAGTTGTCAGAAAACCGAAGTCAATGGAGGTGCGCAGCTGAAGCCCTATGTTCCTCTAGGAACTAAAGGATACAATAATAATAATAATAATTCGTAAATATGTTCAACTACTTTGATAGATTCGCCTTTATTTGTTAAAATGTTGATTGATTTTAGAAAAACGTTGAGGTAATATGTATATGTGTTTAAAAACCTTAAAGTGCTCAACGCTTTTTCAACATTGTTTTTATGTGATTTTGTGAGAGTTCGGGGGAGTCTAAGACCTTTTTGATCTAATAGTTAAGACATTCAACCTGAATAAAAATCCAGTCAATTCATCATATTAGTAAAACTTGGCCACTGTAGTATTAAGAAATTCCATATCAGTTTGTTTATTAAATGTATCACACACAGTGAGTGCAACAGTATTATTATTTACTGAAAGACCAAGGTTCGAACACAATTTTTTACTGTTCATAATCATATTCTCAATTATAATCACATGACTTGAGTTTTATAGTCTTCTTTGTTCTCACCTATTCGTTGTCTTAGGGGTAGTAGAATTTTGCTGATATCTGGGTGGACAGGTGTTAAATCATTCCTATTACGCGTGTAGATTTGCAGTTGATTCGATAAACAAAACCTCCGTTATCAATCCCTCCCTCCACCCTGTTGTGACATTAGATTGTAAAACTGTCATCTTATCCCATCCCCTCGTATTGTATGGTTGTGTGTAATTGCATGTGGTGTAGTGCTATAGCTGAACTATTCTCGAGATTTCTTATCTTATTCGAGTCAACTAATCCAGATTTTGCTGCTAGGTTTTTATGTTCGGCTAGTCTGACTGACTGCCCCTGTTCTACTAGTTTGACCTATGTAATCGACCTGACAATCATTTCAAGCTATTAGAAACAAGCTTTGTCGGTTAAAGGATCAATCCTGTGGAGCCCTTAAAACAAAACAATTCAGCTTATCTAATACACTGCCTGCGATGACTGTCAGGTCGGATTACATAGGTCAAACTAGTAGAACAGGGGCAGTCAGTCAGACTAGCTGAACATAAAAACCTAGCAGCAAAATCTGGATTAGTTGACTCGAATAAGATAAGAAATCTCGAGAATAGTTCAGCTATAGCACTCACTACGTGCAATTACACACAACTATACAATACGATGGGATGGGATAAGATGACGGTTTTAAAATCTAAGGTCACAGGGTTTAAGGGAGGGAGAGATTGATAACTGACTGAAGCTTTGTTTATCGAATCGACTGGGAATCAACACTTGTAATATGAATGATTCAACACCTGTCCAATCGGGCATCTGTAAAATTCTGCTACCACTACGACGAAAATAGGAGAGAACAAAGAAAACTATAAAACTCAAGTTTTTAAGTCATGTGAATATAATTGATATGATTATGAACGGCAATAAATTTTGTTCGAAACGTCTTCCAATAAATAATACTGTTCCACTGTGTGATACATCCAGTAAACAAACTGGTATGGAATTCATCATATACTTTTACTATCATTCAGTATTATTAGTAGCTAGAAGCTATTCACAATCGTTTTCAATAGCGCAGATCCATTCACCCCTTTGTCACCTCCATATATATAATAGGCCCCAACAAATACGCCACACAGAATGTCATAGTTTGCGCGAGGACTGGGATAATGTTCAGATGCCCAGACCGAAGTAGGTAGTTATCTTCAAGAATCAACTTCCTCCGAAGCTTGGACTGAAGTATGTTCCACGAGGTGGTGCTACAGCAGCGTCAGGAGCTGCTTTCCCATGGTTTCTGGATGACCGAATCAAGTTCAACTGCTGTTCAATTCTTTCCGATTCTAGTGACCTTGGAATCACAGTGCTCCAGCTCCTCTAGACAGAGCACCATGTCCTTCACCAGTCAGATTGTCAACTCTAGACGTTCCAACTCATCCTTTCACTTATGACAGTGGTTAGAAAAACATACCCATTTGATTTGTCCTTAGTGTATGAGACATGACCGTTGAAGGTGAGTAGTATTAAGGACAGCAATAGAATATCAAGTAAGGAGGGGGGAATATCAATGGATGAGATTGTTAGGCTGCATAAATTCTGATGGTTAGAACACAAGCTATATGTTCCAAGACATTGCCTTCTTCATCCAGCAAGGTTAACTGACCTAAAATCAGGTTGAGAAAGCATTAAGAGTGGCTAAATGAAGATATGGCATGAATCCATGAGATTTTTATCGTTGATTTGACCCATGTAGGGAGGTGCAGTCTGTCTGACTATAAATGTTTCTTCCGTATATTTCTGTTCATCCTAATTCCTTTTTCTTCGACATTTGTGTTATATAGAAGGTGTAGCAGCCTCAACTGTCGTACTTCTGTACAAAGTCTTGTGTTGAAACTGAGTCAGTCAGTCAGCATCCTATTTTAAATTCAATGGGATATGACCAACGTGCTACATCTTAAATTTTTGCTAACAGTCTCATACTACTTGTATTAGTCAGTAGTATATTTTGCACCGCATAAATTTTATATTTATTTTTTCTACCTATTTAATATGTTCTATGTTGTTGTTGTTTTTTATAACTTCTTTTCAAAACCCAGCCCATGTGAATAAGACTACGTCTTCCACCAACGACTCTAGCCGATCCTCATCAGAAGGGAATAATCAGCAGTCTCTGGCACCAGAAAATATTGCACAGTTGAGAAAGAAATATCAAAACCTCTTATTCGGGCTACTGGAAAAAAGGTAAACCAGAAAATCTTATACTTCACTATTTTTGTATATCCTTTATTAGTAATCCAGTATAATTGTGAATTTTCCTATGGTACTGGTGGGGCAACTAAGGTTACCGCGGATAAGAGATAGACTGGCCTTTAATTCTGATTTGTGGAATAATTGTCAAAAGCGGCGGAACGCGATAAAAACCTGCTGCGTAATAGCAGCAGAGTATGAATCATAAGAAAAATTCGTCTCTTTTATACACAGTGTTATTATTTTTTCTAGAGGAACATTGGGCTTCAGCCAAACGTCTCCATTGCGTTCGGTTCTCTACTGGAGTTTCCACCTGGCTCCAAGTCTGTCCACATGAATTATCTCCTCTTCACATGACCTCCTCCAAGTCACCCTTGCACTGACGACCAACGCGCCGCTTCCCTTTCGCGTTCCTCTCGAAGGCTTGTCTAGTGATGTCAGTTGATGTTTGTTTTTCCTCATAGTATGGCCAATCCATCTCCATTTCTTCCTGCCTATTTGTTGCACAATCGGTTCCTAGTTGGTTTGCTCCCAGAGGCCCCTATTGCTGATCCTTTCTGGTCAACCGTCTGATCTTGAGTATTGAGCGAAGACAGCTGGTAATGACGGTCTGTAGTTTGTTTGAGATGCTCTTTATGATGCGCTGGTCAATTCTCTGATCCGTATAGTAGCACTGACTTCAAATTGGAATTGAAAATCCTGATCTTATTTTTCATGCTGAGTGTGTTAAGGTAGCCATGATTGTTATTATTGTCATACCCGTGGGTTCTGCGTGGAACACAGGGCTTCATCACGATATCTTCATTTCATTCTAATCTCAATAGTTCTTTTGAGCCGACTTTACAATTGGCTATAAGCCCCACTTCATGTTTCCCTAAGTCTCATGCCCAACTGTTTGTTCCCCATTCAGGTTCTACTCGAAGGCTTATCTTGTGTGTGTATGTGTGATGTCAACTCAACGGTCTCCTCGGCGCGTATGTCGGATCCATCTCCAACACCTCTTTCTGTATATTTCTTCGTCTATTGGTTGCAAGAGTTCCCTTCTGATAATGATATTCCTTTTCGGCTGACTATCTGATTTTCGATATGGAGCCGACGAAGGTAACAGTTGATGAAAGTCTGCAGTGGGCCGTGTTGAAATTTTTTTAGTAGTGATGCCATCGCCAAATCTCTTAGCTATGATGTAGAAGATTTTTAGCTCAGGTGGGTGATTTTGGTGTGATTGTGTTCTCTGAGCTGGCTGGATAGTTGATTTGCGAAGCTTTCATCGACCTACTAGGCGATATCTTCAGCGCATACTTCAATTTGACGCTATATATCAACCAAAAGACTCAACAGCGAAAGAAGATAAAAACCAACATCATCTACAAAATAAATTGTAACAACTTCGAAAAACACTACATTGGCCAAAGTGGACGAAGTCCCCTTCGTCTTCGTATCCACGAACATAAACTAGCCGTCAAAAGACATGATATTCACGCCTTCATATCACTCGCTGCATACAGACAACCACGGACATTAATTCGACTGGGACAACCAGCGTTCAAATATTAGACAGAGGAAACACCAAGAATGCTAGAGAATTTTTAGAAGCCTGTCTGGCATTCCAGTGAATCGTCAATCAATAGACACATTGAGATAGACAAAATTTATCAACCGATAAGAAAGAAACCTCACACACAAAGGGTCAAAGTTCAAGTCAAAGAAACAATCAGTCGCAATACAAGTAGCCTAGAAGGTGTGAAAACGCACGAAAACAACCAATCGAAACATTCAAGATCACCCATCAGGAGAGGTGATTTATAGCGAACTCATGGAGAAATCTAAAAGCTCACTTCAAATTAAATTATTCGCTGAAGATTTTTCTTAGTACGGCGATGAAAGCTTCACAAATTAACTATCCAGCCAGCTCAGAGAACACAACCACATCAAAAAAGCCTCTGAGCTGTATAGAATCACTATTCACTGACTCGAAATTAGTGTTGAAAATCTGAATCGTGTTCCTAATTGCTGATTGCAGCAGATTCGCAAACTGATTGCAGAGTGATGAAGGTTTGACGGAATTGCGTGTTGTTTGTTAATCCTCTCTGGTCAGCCATCTGATATTCATGAGCGAAAGAAAGAAGTAGGTAGTTGTTGATAAGAGTCTTCACAGTAGGCTGGTGGTGGTGGTGGTGAGAGGAAAGCTTTTCGTGACACATATTCGCCAAGTCTTTGAACTATACATAAGCAGTGATTAACTTCACATTAGCGTTGGGTGCCGTTGTTTTTCAAACTGACTTCAAAATATTCAGGGTTTGTCATGCTGCTCGGATCTTGTAGTTGATATCCTCATCCCTGCCGCCTGTAGTTGAAACAATGCGACCTAAGGAAATGAAACGAACAACCTTCTTCAAAATAATTCCCCCCCCGTTGATAGGGATTAGTGCTTGTTGTTTTTAGCTATCTTCATCATTTGCTAATTCCAGATCTTCTGGAGTCCTATTGTCGGTTCGAAGTATTCTCTCTGCCACCGCCCCACCTCCGCTACGGTATGTTGCAGTATCCTATATCCACGACAATCAAGAAGACCTCCTATTTTAAGCAGTGGAATTTATGAATTTTCGCAAACATTTTCATACCTCTGAAATATACACTAAGGGCGATATCATTCTCTCATGTCTCCTGTGTGTGTGTGTGTGTGAACAAGTGGATAATCAGTCGGTAGACATTGGCATCCCAATGGAAATACTAAAAGAATTGTTATTAAGGTGTATCACGAATTTAAACTTCAAATTTGAAGACACGCCTTTACAGGCAAGTGGACGGGGTGACGATGGGCTCCACATTGGATCCCATTTTTTAGCAGATTTCTTTTTAAGTAAACTAGAAAATGGACGTTTGAACAACCTTATCAGAAAGTTCTCCTTTCATTGCCGGTATATAGATGACACCTTTATTCCTTGTGATAATTAATAATTGCTGAATTCAATGAAGTACATTCGGCTATGAAATTCACGTGCGAAGAGGAATCCATAAACAGAATCGACTTCTTGGATGTCCTACTTACAAGAAAACCAGATGGTAGCATAAAAAGAAATTTGCATAGAAAAAGTACTTGGACAGGACAATATCTACATTTTCACAGCTTCGTTCCTATAAAGTACAAAAGAAATTTAGTGAAGACCCTCAGCCACACAGAGTTAGAGCTCTATGCTCAGAAGAATTAATTGAAGATGGATTAAGCATTCTATATGATACTTTGATTGAAAATAGCTAGCTATCCCGACACATTTATCAAGAAATACATGACAAAGAAAGCAGAAAAGGACTAGTCACTATCTGTACACAAGAAGCCACTTTATATACAACTACAATTCAAGGGCAATATACCAAGTAAGATAATTACGAGTGAATTAAGAAAATCAGTTGAAAGAGCTTTTAATGCTGGAGCGTATTATTCTCTACACAACCGATGGTGATTCCTCGACTGAAAGATGAAGTACCTAGACTAGACTAACCACTTTCGATTGTATCTACCAATTCAACTGCTCTTGTGCAGCGAGTTATGTCGGTGGTTGCTCTAGGAGCTTGATTTTTTTGTGCTTACTTGAGAACACCCCCCCCTGTATGGCTAAGTAAAGGTGTAGTAAAAACCATCAACAGTTCGATTTTGGACCATCTGGTGCAAACCGCTGAATCTATCTTTTACTTTCTTCATGACTCAATGGGTACTTTCCGTGAGATGTAGGGGTTATCGAAAAGATTACTCTTTCTTCAGTATCCATTCTTATAATTGTGTTTCTAATTCTAAAATGTCTCTCCCGCCCCCCCCCCCGCCTCCACTCATTCCTCATATCTGTTATATTTGTTGTTGTTTTTTGTGTCATCTCTTCACTCTTTACAGAACCCTATTATCACGTCATATATTCACAGTGAATCGATCTAAACTGAAAGCACTAGCTATCGAATTAGAAAATGTTATTTCATCTAGAAATAATCTCGCCAGTCCAAGTAAAGATTCTCTACAGACAGACTTTTCAGTCTATCAAGCACAACTACGCTTATTTTTGAACTGTTTAGAGATTGTCAGTCAAGAGAAATCAGAAGCCGTCAATACTGCCTCTGTCGTCTCTACGTCCACTACTGATCCATCTATTATTGTCACATTGAAAGATCAATTTTTCGACTCTTTAATCACTGGGGCATTGAAACCAAGTGATTTAGCGCATTGTCAAGATGTTAAAACTCTTGAGTCGATAGTCAAGCGAGCTCGTATCGCTGAGAAAGCCCATGTTAAAATATCATCTACTCTGTCAAGTTCAGTCAATAATAATGTGAGTTCTGCTGGCTATTATTATTACTATTATTACTATTAATTATTATTAATATTACTATTAATGTCATGGAATTTTTCACAAGTGTTGTCGAAATCTCAGTACGGACAAAAAAGGCTCGTGTGTAGCATTTGTGAGCCAGCTCACGCTATCTCTGGCTTAGCATACGTGATATCCGACTGATTGTCGACCAGAGAATGTGTGTACTGCACAACAGTTCGCTCTGTGCTCCTTTATCGCTGTGAGTGGGACACGAACGTTGAAAATGGAAGACATGCATAGCTTGCTTAGCTGTCTTTGATCATAGGTGCCTGTGTTCTGTCTCCCGTGTTAAATGGTGTTCTGCGGTAATATTGAGATTAAGCGTAGAGTGTTAAGTGAGGTAAGGAGGTTAGGACTCTCGCCAACCATACACATGGTCCGAGGTTCGTTCCGTTGCCGACGCACACCTGATATCTATGGTCGGCTTGCAAAATTTGGACTACCGATATCATATGCTGAAAACTGCATACTTGTACCCAAAAATACGGTATGGAATCAAGCTGTAATCAAAAAAAATCGATAAGATAATGAAGGTGGGTCGATTAAAATGGCTAGGACACACGTGTTGTTCGCATGCCAAACCATCATTTTCCTCGACAAATATAATCTTAACTAACACAGGATTAGGTTGGAAAAAAGGGAGTGACAGGTCAAATGGAAACTTGACATTAGTCCGTAAAGTCTTTGGCTGTAAAGGGGATGTTGAGAAAATACATTTCACTGATCAAGGTAATCTACTCGAACTCATACAGCCAGGTGGGGGAGCCTGACGTAAGTTTTCATCTGAAGTGGTGTCCGTTAGGGATGCCAACAGATTGTCCGCATTTTTGCTTAGTTTCATCGTAGATGTACCAATGGAATCAGGGATTGACCTGTTACCCTACCATTAGGGAATAATTTCGTTAACTTAGACTGTTCAGACGATATAATCCTCATACCTAAGTCAAGGTGCTTACAAAAATGCTGAGTCTTCTGAACACCTTGAGAAGCGGCGATCTCCGAATGTTTGACATGCGATTCACTCGTCCTGTCAAATGTAAGATGATGGTTTTATTCTGATTGAAATTTTGTATAAATTAAAATGAATTTTCGCTGTAAAACTTTTAACAAATGTTGATGAAATCTCAGTACCGATGCAAAAGGCTTGTGTGTGACCATCTGTGACCCAACTTACTCCATCTCTAGCTTAGGAGACGTGATATCCGGCTGATTGTCGACCAAACAACGTGTGTACTGCTCAGCACTTCGCTCAGCTCTCCTTTACGGCTGTGAGTGAGACATGGCCATAGAAAGTGAAAGAGGTGCAAAGCCTGACTACCTGTGTTTTGTTAATGCGTGTCTGCCTTCTGTGTCCCATGGTAGGCCGCATAATAACGTGAACGATATTGAGGTTAGACGTAGAGTAAGCGCTAGGTAAGTAGATGAAATCAACCGACAAGGTGGTGATGGTAAGGAGAGATGGAGATGGTTAGGACATGTGTGTTACGTTTGCCTAGACATCGCCTTCCTCGACGACAGGCAATATCAGCTGACTGATATAGGATTAGGTTGAACAGCCAACCGGAGATGGCGTAATTTGGCGGGCATATGCGACACGAGGCTTCTGTATTGGTGCTGAGATTTTGTCGGCGATCAACCCTCTGGCGTTGGCTGGTGAAGTGAAGTGATCGACCATACAAAAATCTTCTATCTGAGCTACAAATCTTCTCCATCATATCTAGAGGGTACTGTGTTCAAGGTCGTTTCTTAACAGTAGATATTTAGTCCCCAAATTTATTTTTTTGTTAGAATTCTCTTCTTAGTTCATCTGAATCTCATAACTGTCTTAATCTTTGAAAGATCTCTTCAGGTTGTCTGTTGTTTAAAAGCGTTCTACACTTTAATCTTTTGTGTAGTCGAATGACGTACACTTTCTTCTTCTTCTTCTCTATTTTTCCCCAAATAATGGGGATCAGTGTGTATTCTGTTGGCTGTGTTAGATACTTTTAAAAAAAGAACTGGACTGAATTGGAATTTCGCCGATAGCTGCTACTTATCTTGACGTGTGACGGTTGGGCTTGCATATCACAGTGACACCATAAGCTATACTGTCTGGGACGAATATTTCTGTAGCTCCTACCATATCATTGGCATAGCTGTTAGACGAAAAGCAGTTACCACCGTGGTCTTAGTCGCTTACGCTATGTTCGGAATCCCAGGACAAAGTCATATTACTGGTGGATAGGGTCATAGAAGCAGTTAGGTGTTTCCTTCAGGCAGCCAGAAAGTAAACTGTGCTGTGGCTCTCCCTCCCCCGACGGGGCACAGTTATCATCTATCTATCATAAAAACACGAACTTAGTGTATTATAGACACCAAGAGACCTGCGCCACACAAAATCGCATAGTTTGAGCGAAGGCGCTGGGATACTGCTCGGACAGGGTCACCCCGACACCCGAGCCTTTGACTTAAAGTTACATTCACAAGGTAGTGGAGAAGCATCAGGAACTGCGTTCCCATGATTACCGGTGTCCAGGACACTCTCAGACTCTATTGGATTCGTACAGATTCTGTAGCCGATACATACCATGGTTCCGGAATCAAGGATTTCCAGTTCCCATAGATGGACCTGGATGTCTACCAGTTTGCCTGCAAGCTCCGGACATTCAAACTTTCCCCTCCACCTTTTTGAGAAACATTCCAATAATACTAATGATTTAGTTTATTCCTAAAACAGTACTTGTGATACAGAATGGAATTTTCAGCATTAACCACAATATTGCATCTAATTTTACTCAAATTATAAGTAAAAACTAATCACACAGAAAATTTTCCACATTTACAATAGGGGTGGGTAATGTCAAAAACATGCAGCATATAAAATGGAAATAACAATAATCATGATAACGGCTAGGGTAATAATAATAAGAATACAAGTGAAAATTGCCGTTGGCTTGTGCCACACAGTATTGGCAATGTGGTATAGAAATCCTAGCATGTTTCAGAAATATTGAATATAATGTTCCCTCTACATGGTGATGATGGTGAGGGGAAAAACAAAGATTACAGCAGTCATTGAGATAAGTTGGTGTTTGCACTTATGAGAGTAAAACAAACAAAGAAGCAACAGGACCGACCATAAATATAACAGAATTAATAAAAGTAAAACTTGAAGGTATAAAAGGAGGGATGGATGGAGGAAATTGTTTATTTACTAGATGAAAAAAGGTTAGTTAATTCTTGCCTGACACTATTTTCACTATCACATAAAATACGTGACAAGCATGGTATCATAGAATTTCTGTACTTAGACGTGCGCGCATACAGTTTTCTGAAGTTACTTCTTGTTCTACCTGAGGACGAGATGCAAGGTGGAAGCTGAGGGTAAGTAAAGTGGATGCTCCAAGTCAGACAAAATCCCTTTAGCAAATTTATTGCACGAAGTCAAGTGCCTATCGACAACGACGTTAACTATGTGGTCCATTGGGACACCACAACTCGCCTTACTGACAGTCTTCAGCATTCTACGAATTGTGACATATTCTTTTTTAAGCGAACCAGGAAAGAATAAGGGTGAAGAATAAAGAAGAATAGGTAGGATGCAAGACTTTATGAACTGTAAGAGGAGGGGTTGAGTTATGTTGGCGGTGAATAAGACTTAACTGTCAGGGGCTATGAACGCGTGGTCATGTAAAGGTGTTGCAAAAGGAAGATGAAGGTCTATCTACCTTCAGCAATAAATAAAGGTCGACCCTAAAAATTGTGCATCCCCACTTACTTTGTGGTAGTCCTTGGTCGGCGATAAGATCTTCATACATATACAATTCTAAGATCCGATTCAAACATCATCGTGTGTGTTCGCCAGGTTTCAACATGCTTGTCTCTTAAACTCTGCAGTCATACTCATTCCGTTCCAGATACCTCAGAAAAGAAATCAATTTCCACGATGTTGACAGACAGGAACAAGCGCTTCTATAAGCATAGAAAACTTTCTTAATCATCAGTATTAAAAGAAGGAGCATAAAGTGGTAATTATACATCCGACCTACATTATGGCCCATCGTTCATCTTGTGGAATGTATAATTCTTTCAGATGTTACAACAATCGTAATCTACGGGGAACTAGACGCTATATATTTCAATGTGTACATCAAAAACACATCTCGACCGATAGCTGCTACCTTGACGTGGTGGTTGAGCTTGCACATCGCAATAAGCCAACAAGTTACACTGACTGGAAATATTGTCCCTGCGGATCCTACCATGCCATGAAGGTTGTTAGGATAGCGATTACACTAAAAGCAGTTACCGGTGTAGTGTAAGAATTTTTTACACTATGCTAGGGGTCTGAGGATGAAGTCGTACTGCTGGGGAATAGGGATGTTATAGCAATGAGGTGTTTCCTTCAGATGACCAGTATGCCAGCCAGCTAAGCTGTCTCTCCACTTCGGAGAGAGGGGGTTAGAAAAGGTTGACCCCAATAATTGTACATTCCGAATTACCCTACCTACGGGAGCACGTAACCGACGATAGGTGTACTAAAACGGAACCAAACTAAGAAACCGATTCTTACAGGGCGTGTGTGACCGGCTTCAAGCAGCTGTCCCCTGGGCTCTGAGGTCATGCAACACTAACCCTCTTTCTGCCCCAGATACCCGAAGAATCAACCAACTTCCACAGTGTGGGCAGCCGGGAAGTAACAATCGCCCACACATATTTCCAAAAACACACGAAGCCTTCCTGTACGTAAGTCTGTTTTGCTTCTGTAGTTCCCTAAGCAAAATATTTAGCCTTTTCTTTTGCTTATGTCATCCTTTTGTTTTTAATACACAATTAGGTAAATAAAAGCTCATCGAGCTCGCATCCTTCATCGACTCAAACTTCTGCGCCAACGTCAGTAGAGAATAAAACGTCAACTAATAATGAGCCAATAGATACTACAAGTGAACACGGGAAGCATTTATATGATATGCATTGTAAACGATGTACTACTCATGGACAGAAAAAACCGTCAATGAAACAATCATCTTTATCATCATTATTACATCCTTCGAAGAAGTCAATACCATCCGCATCTTCTGATCCTGGTGTATCCAGCCTGTCAATGAAAACAGAACCAGTTGACAGTAGTAGTGGTAGTACGCCTTTAGGAGGAAAGGTAATGTTCACTTTTTTTGTTGGGAGTTGGCTTTAAAATTTCATTTCGGTGTCGTGTTGTGTTGTTGTGTTGCATAGCCACTCTCTCTCTCTCTCTCTTGCTAACCTTCTCAAAGAGGGCTTTGTTATAATCAGTCACATCGTAACAACAGAAGACAAGGGCCAGCCAGGCAACAGATTGTTTATTAAGGAAATCAACAGATATTTATAGATTTTCATGTACATTATAATAGATTATTGTTAGCAGACAAACACTACAGTCTTCTGATTGGTTGTTTCTCACAGAAAGTTAACCTTTCATCTCTATGTGACTGTTTCTTGAATGTCAGATCATCTATATGTTAACTGTATCCACCTACGTAAAGCCTTTGTTCTCATTTTTCTTACGACCAATACTGGGGACATAAACATTGACGTAAATTACTGTTCACCAATTTCGACTAACAGCCAGCTCTCATCACAACATCACGTTGAAGTGTGAAATGTCCGGTTTCTGTTGACTCATCAGTTGCATGTAACCTGCATTCTCTAGTGGGTGTTCCTGTGTCCTACTGTGAGACTCGTACCAAGTACTCATCGTTTCAAACACCAAAGCGTTATTCACTAGACTGCATGTTGCACAGGCCACGAGAACCACCTCTTGTGCAACAAAGGTCAGTTATTATTTGTCTTCAATTCGATTTTTGATTTCTCGCTTTGGTTGATTGGACCGAAATGTCTGGCCGATGTTTTGACATGTCAGCTCCTAGTACGGACACCTCAATAGATGTCTGAAGACTAACATCGATATTATTCGGTGGATGATGATAGGTAGTGATATCTAGGTTGTGTATTTCATCCTATGTATTATGACTCTTCAGCTTGATGTACCTTCAGTTTCTAGTGAGTCACGGGGGTTTTCAGCCTCACCTCAATAGCGATTGCAGGTGCAGTCAGATCATTGACATACTTTAATAATTCCCATCGTAGCTCATTAAGAACACAATATATATTCAGTGAAGAGACTCTTTTTAAAAACGAATTTATTATCAAGCTTTACAACGTATATACATACACATATGGTTTTTAAGAAATTATATCCGGTGAGGGCATTGAATCAAAGGTGTGAATACATAAAATAATAATAATAGTAGTAGTAGTAGTATGAAATGCAATTAAAATTAAAATGTTTGTGATTATAATCATAGTTAAATGTCAAGTAGCAAAACAATTAGTGTGTGTGAACACATAGAATAATTCATAGGATGGACAGTACTTGGAAAGGGTGTGCAATTATAGGATTAGTAGTGTAACAACAGAAGACAAGGGCCAGGCAACAGATCGTTTTATTATGAAAATCAACACGTATTTATACATATTTCAACTACATTATTATAGACAAGCGCAGTCATCTGATTGGTTGTTTTTAGGTAGACAAACGCAGGCTTCTGATTGGTTGTTTCGGGATTCCTTGACAAATAGAGTTCTCTATCTGCGAATCATATTTTGCCACGTTAACTTTGCTGTGATTGGTTGTTGACTCAGCCTTGTTCATATTTTCTCACGGCCCATATTAGTGACCTAGACCTTAACGTAGATTAGTGCCAACCAATCGGCTAGCAGCCTGCTCTCACCACAGTAGGCTAATATAAAATGTTACATAACATGGCGTGAGATTTGATAAGATAGAATTCAATATTGTATAAAAAGTTTTTTGGGATTTAGAATGACAATTGGGACAAGAGGAAACAATTCAAAGTGAGAATAGTAATAATAATAATAATAACGATAATAATAATAATCGTAGTAATAAGGGAAATGTACATAGATTAACTAAATAAACAAAATAAATAAATGTCTATCCCTCTACCGTCAAGGCAGAAGTAGGCATTGTACATACTTCTTCTGTACACAAAGATCTGGCTGACAAATTCATGAATGGTCAAGGCCTCCGCTGTCTTTAGAAGTCTGTAACGAAGAAAAAAACGCGGCAAGTTAGCATGGATTCGGTAGATGATGATCTTAAAATCATGGTCAGAGTTGATAGACTGACAGGAGTCGATCAGGTGTTCTAGAATAGAGCTTCTCACACCCCCCCTTTCTCCCTTGTAAAACCATGCTACTGGCTGAAATATGTTCTCGTATCCATGTGTGAATCGACATTCTCTAACTATATGGCCAATGTACCTTGTTCTGCAAAAGGAGCGGGCGAACTGAAAGATGCACATTCAGGTGGCTAGATAGGGCAGCTTATTTTCTACCGGGGAATAATCTCGTTGACTTGGAATATGCAGACGATATAGTCCTTCTAGGCGAAGACGCTGACAAAATGCAGAGTCTTCTAAACACCTTGAACAGCAATCTACGAATGTTTGGCATGCGATTCGCTCCCGCCAAATGCAAGATGATGTTACAGGACTGGACTACATCGACGCCTAGTTTAAAAATAGGAAGTGAAGTGGTAGAGCACGTTGACCGCTTCACTTATTTGGGAAGTACCATCAGCCAATGCCAACGGGCTGATCTCTGACGAAATCTCAGCACGAATACAAGGGGCTCGTTTCGCATTTGTTAGTTTACGCCGACTCTGGCGTAGACGAGATGTTCGACTATCGACCAAAGGGCGGGTGTACTGCTCATCAGTCCGCTCCGTCCTCCTTTATGGTTGTGAGACCTGGCCACTGAGAGTGGAAGACATGAAAAGACTAGCTGGCTGTCTCTGATCATAGATGCCTGCGTTCTATTTCCCGTGTAAAGTGGCATAATAAGGTGAGCAACATGGAGGTTAGGCGTAGAGTTCTAGGTAAACAGGGGAAATCAATCGACGAAGTCGTGAAGCTACATCGACTGAGATGGTTAGGACATGTGTTACGTATGCCAAGTCAACGCCTCCCTCGACGAGCTATGTTAGCGGATATAGGGTCAGGCTGGAAAAAAGCTAGCGGCGGTCAAACAAAAACTTGGCCCCACCAGTCAATGAAATCCACAACAGTTGGTCTAAGCCACGTAGGAAGGTGTAGACTTCCTGACTGGTTGGGGTCTTCGGGACGGTAAAAATCAATGGTTGGAAACAATTGGTGACATGGCTCAAAATCGTTCTCAGTGGCTGGCGCAGATGCATCCACTCCCTGTGACTTATGATCTTCAATGAAACTGTTTTGTATTTCTTTATTACTCCTTTGTCTCACACCTCTGCTCACTGTTTCTATTATGCTTTTCTTGTACTTTCTTCTCTTGCTTCGTGTGCTACATGGAGGGAGTGTGGCGACTTGAACTGGCGCACATTTGTGCAAAGTTCTATGTCGAAAACAGACAGACAGACAGAGATGGTGAACAACTTGCAGCTGGTGAACGTCTTACACTGACTGATTTTGAGAGACGAGTTTGGAGCATATCTGAAGTCTAATAATGATCACCTTTGAATTCCAAATTCATATAATAAGATTTTCTTTGGAAGTGAGTCGGTGGTGACCAGTTTGGACTGGTTATCGTTTGTGTTATCTATCGATAAATTGGTTCGGGTAAAACTGTTTTCTGCGAGTGTAGCTTTTAGGAAGTCAAGTTCTGAATTATAACGCAATCAAAACTACAAATGTTTCTTGTCTCAAAGCATCGAGAATGAATCAGGTTCCTCATCCTGGAGACAGACGCCCAACTAAAAAAAACTGTCTACCTTTCCCTGACGGTATCCAATATTTATTGAAGTAGTGGATCAAATCTTTTAATCAGACGAGACAAATACGCCTTTCTCTTTCTCTGTCATGTGATTAAAACATTTCTTAAACTTTATCATGATTTTCTTTTCTTTACTAATTTATTACTAAGGCTTCACCTGTTGATCCGAGTCCATCAGGAGCTATTCATCTGTCGAAATCGTCAATTTCTCCAGCCGTTTCTACTACTACTACTACTACCACTACGCCTAGTCAACAGGATACTACTATTCCAATATTGACAAAACTCTCCATGAAATGTAGTGATGAACAGCGCGACTCTTCTGCTGCCAAAAAGTCAAATGCAACACGACACTTGAATATAAAAAGAGATTCAAGTGTAGTACAAAATTCTACAAAAATAAAGTAAGTCATAGTGCAATTCTCCTATTTAGAAATTAATTTATCTGTCTTTTCTATAGTTTGGTTTGTAAGAGTTAGTTTTGTTTTTACGGGTTGATCACGGATTGATATCAGTTAGAGAAGTATTGAAAACTAGGACAGGAGTACTGGAAAGCTAGCTATCTCACCCTAGTTTTGAGAATCATCGGCAGTACGCAGTCACCACAGCAGGGTTCGAACCCAGAATCTTCTGGTTACAAGGCAAGCTAGCGCGTATACGACTCAGCCACTGGGACCCGATTCAATGGCTCATGAATTCTAACTTCGTGACCAGTGAGGTTCATCTAGATGTCACGTGTAAGGATGGATGTCCCACCTACGAATATAGTTGGGGTTGGGCTAAATCACGAATCGGTAGAAGTTAGAATTCATGAGCCAGTGAATCGGGTCCCGGTGACTTGCCTTGTAATTGGCAGGTCGTTGGTTCGAACCCTACTGTTGTGGGTGAATGCTGTCGATGATCCCCCAAACTAGGATGAAACAGCTGTCCACTACTCCCTGGTTTTCAATGGTTCTCTAGCTGATTTATCTGTGTATCAAATTCCTCGTCCGTAATTTACACGGCTCAAGAAGGGTGAAGTTTTACTGCAATTTCACTTGGAGACATAAATTATTCAGTTCAGTATGGGTATATGTGTGATTTGCCTGAATGTCGTCATAAATGGCAATAAGTAAGGCAATTTTTTACACATGATTGACGTGAGTAGTTGTAGTGTCGGTGGCTTGAAATGGTTCGGCTGTTCGAGCGGAGTGTATTTTGGTTACGCCAGTGATGTGCTCGTCACTCAAACACTAGCGAAACGACTGTCGAGTGCTAACCTCAGTACTCATGATAGCCAATCAGTAGTCTATGATTGGTTATTTCGCTTTTTCCTGATGACTACTTATTTTTAATAAGTAGTATATAGTGAGTTTGGAATTATTTTAGTGTTTATTGCATAAATGAAAATAGTGAGAGTTTAAAAGTACCCCTAAGTTTCGTTCCGCATATCCATTGTCGATGAATAGCAGTCATGGTAGCGAATTGTAAGAATCTCTTCACTATTCTCCTTTCCATTGTTAATAAATGTTCATATTATCTCTTCCATGCGTTTAATCGAACGTCTGGAAATCCTCCATGATGGTGGAATTAGACTATATCTATCGAGAGGTGGTTGGCTAATTTCAAGTGACTAAATTGTATTTCGCATCTGTGGTAGAATGTTCGTCGACCACGTTTGTGGTCCGGGGTTCGATCTCTGGCCACTGACGCATTACTTTACCTCGCTAAACCAGTAATATGACTGGTAAAGAGGGGGAAGGCTGGGCATGAGACTGGCTAGCAACCCCATCCCGTAAAAATAAGCATCACTGCTACCGAAACTTCAAGCCTCTAGCTTGAAGGCGCCATATGTTCCACTGGGAACGTAAAGGATTAAAAAAGTGTATCTATCTTTACACATTCATCTAATGAGTATGGAACGTCTTTTCCGGGTAGCTGGATTCTGAAATATCACTACAGCGAGAGAGAGAGCGAATGACCATACTGGTACTTTAATATTTCCTTACAATGTTTAGGTAATATAGGTTCGTCATTACATGAAGAATGATTGGTGAGAAATTCGTGAGTTGTGTTTCACCTTCCCTGACAGGCAATGTCAGCTGACATATGATGAGTAGGTTATTAGGGAATTCAAAGATGTCTGTTGGTTTGAGCCATGCAAGGAAGTATAGATTACATAGCCACGGAGTTCTGGAGATGGTTTATGAGATGATTCAAAATTGTTCTCAATATGGTAGGTGCATTTGTGAACTCTTATAGATTCACTAAAATCTCATTATCCTTCATGTACTTATCTTCTCTCACGTATGTATTTGTTGTTTTGAACTTTATTTTCCTTTCGCCATCTGTGTGTGTGTGTGTGTGTGTGTGTGTGTGTATATGAAGTGTGACAAGTTAAAATTTTGGACTTCTATGCAAAGTTCTACGTTGAAAACTTAGTCAGTCAGTCAATTCTATCTTGTTATTTGTCGGAAATTGTACTTTCATCCTCCAGCTTGTTGTGTATAGATTTGTATGTAGAGTCATTCTCAACTGACTGAGTTCAACGTAGAACTTTGCACAAATGTGCAGCAGTTCGAGTTGCTACACTCCCTCCATTTATCATACAAGGCAGAAGAAGAGAGTAGGGGAAAGATTCAAAACAGAGATAACAAGGAGAAATATGAGGCAAAAAGAGCAGTGATATGATGGAAGAACAATGGAATTTTATTGGATATGATTGACAAATCACAAAGAGTGGATGTATCTGTGTCGGCCATTGAGGACGATGAGTTTGAGCCATATCACCAATTATTTCCAGCCATTGGTTTTTATATCCCGCGGACCCCAACTAGGAAGCCTACGCGTCCCGACGTGGCTGGTTTAAACTAATAGTTGTGTATTTGATTGATTGATGATGCCATGTTTTTGTTTCACCACCACTGGCTCTTTTTCAACCTGACCCAATATGTCAGCTAACGTTACCCGTCGAAGAGGGTGATGGACGGCTAGGTATGCATGCGTAACACATGTCCTAACCATCTCAATCGATTTAACTTCACAACGTTGTCGGTTGATTTTATTTCCTACCTAACGTTCAATCAACGCCTAACCTCAATATTGCTCACCTTATTATACCACTTCATTCGGCAGATAGAATGCAGACACATGATGAAAGACAGCTAGTCAGGCTTTGCATGTCTTCCGCTTTCAACCGCCATGCCTCACTCACAACCGTAAAAAGGAGAGCGGAGCGAATAGCTGAACAGTACACACGTCCTTTGTTCAACAGCCAACCGGATATCATGTCTACTAAGCCAGAAATTGCGTAAATTCTTTGCCATATGCGAAACGACCCTTTTGTATCGGTGCTGAGAAGTGGTCAGCGGAGATCGCTGCTACTTAAGATGTTCAGAAGACTGTGCATTTTGTTAGTGTCTTCACCAATTTGCAACATGTATTCAGTTTAGCTTTGGTTGTCAGACTATGATCTGTTATTTAGATGATTACAGTGTTTCGTTGTGGGATTATATATAATAACTTTCATGGGTTATTGGATCCCAAATACTGTGATTGAATGATAAACATGCTTGTCTGATAACTTAATGATCCTAAATTTTCTCTTTCGTGTGGAGTGATCGGTGTGCTTTCTGAAAAGAGTTGTTGTATAGGCTATGGTCAAATAAACCGTCTGATTATCTTCGGTGGTTCTCAATAATTATTCTCTAACAGACGTCGATCTGTGACTTAATTAACGGGATAAATTGACTAGGTTGTTCACCATGTATGTTGAAGTATCTCTTGAAACAAATGAATGATGTTCACCTAAAGTGTTCTTCAGAAATGTGTAAGGGTAAATCCGAACGTCTGGTGCTTATTACCAGTTGGACTGTTGCTGGACGCAATGGTCTACCTAGGTGAGCTGTAAAACCCTGATTTCAAACCTACTTGGTGTATATGTGCTCCATAATCTAAACGGATCATGTATGAACTTGTTTTAGTTACCGGAAACCATGGGGACTTAGCTCCTGACTCTGGTCCACTGGCTTGTGGATCAAAGCCTCAGGGGATGGTCCTCTGAGACAATCATCTGATTCGATCAGAACATCAGGGCAGTATTCTAGCCTTCGCACAAACTATGTGATTTTGCGTGGCAGATTTGTTCTAAGTTTGTGCCTTAATAATAATAATAGGTTCTGTCTGGTTTCAGCATAGAACTTTACACCGATGTGCAACAGTTCAAGACGCCACACTCCCTCCTTGTTGTACCACACAAAGCAAGAGAAGAAAGTAAAAAGAAATGCAAAACAGAGATATGAGGCAAAAAGAATAGTAATATCAAAGAACAATATTGTTTCATTGGGTATTCTAACTCACAAGAAGTGGATGCATCTGTGCCATCGTTGAGAACGATTTTCAGCCATTTCACTAATTGTCTCCAGTCATTGGTGTTTGCCGTCTCGAGGACCCCAACCAGGAAGTCCACACCTTGCTACCTGGTTTAGACTAGCTGTTGTGGATTTCATTGACTAATGAAGGCATGTTTTGCTTTGACCACTACTGGTTCTTTGCCAACCTGACTCTATGTCAGCTAGCATTGCTCGTCGAGGGAGGCAATGGCTATACAGGCGTGCGTAACACATTTCCCAACCATCTCATTCGATGTAACTTCACAGTCTTGTCTATAAGGGGATGATTTGGTCACTTTGATTACTACTGTTATTATTATTATTACTGATTTTCTATCTCTTCTTTGTAGATCGAACCATCCACATCCAATGCATTCATCCGTTGAACAATACTCTCCAGCACTGTCCTCCTCCTCCGTATTCACATCTCATGATGATAATAATCCTATCTCACCGAAATCTCTCACTGGTGTTCTACCCGCTTATTCTGCATCAACAACAACAACAACTACGCCATCACTTGTTTCAACTGGTCTACTAGACTTGCCCTTACCACCAGCTATGCTTAACAGTACTATGAATACCAGTAAACCTTCACGGATTCCACAATCTGACAAGAATAATAATAATGGCATGTCTGTAAAACCGTCTTCTACAACCAGTGATGATGTGAATCATATGAATTCCTGCCTATGGAGTGGTAGGTTATCCTTGTCTACTCAGTATTCTGGACGTGAACATGTATACAGTTTAGAGATTAACGCTTATCCATTTGGTTGTATTCATGCAAAGTCTTCTGTCCATCTGACGGATAAATTAAAATCATGGATGGAAGGACTACTATCGTCGTCATCATCATCATCGGATAAGCCAAATTCACTTGTCGTTATTCGTGGTGTAAATCTGGTCAGTTTACCAGTGTATTTGGGACAGACATTGTTAGATGCTAATCAGCCAAGAGTAAGTTGTTTTATGTGTTGATATTTGTTCATTTTGCCTGTCTGTTACTTTTCTCTGTCTTTTTCTATTTATCCTTTTGGGAAGGGGGGGAGGGGTTGGTTCCCAATAGAGCATACCGCTTCAGGAGTACATTCCTATTTCACTTTGTTCTCTGAAATTCCATATTAGTTTGTTTATTAGATATATCACACACAGTGAGTGAAACAGTATTACTATTTACTGGATGACACAGTTTCGAACAAAATTTATTGCTGTTCCTAATCATATTCTCTATTATAATCACACGACTTTCAAACTTGAGTTTTATAGTTTTCTTTCTTCTCTCCTATTTGTCGTCGTTGGGGTAGTAGAATTTTCCAGATATCCGACTGGACAGGTGTTGAATCATTCCTATTACACGGGTGTTGATTGCAGTTGATTCGATAAACAAAGCCTCTGTTGTTATCAATCTCTCCCTCCCTCAAACCCTGTGACCTTAGATTTTAAAACTGTCATCTTATCCAATCCCATCCCATCGTATTGTATAGTTGTGTGTAATTGCACGTAGTGAGTGCTATAGCTGAACTATTCTCGAGATTTCTTATCTTATCTAGCAGTTGAACAGTGTAGGTTAGGAAAGTCGACAAATTAGGTCGGTAGTTTCGGGAGCAGGATTAGCTCTGGAGGTCGAATCAGACTCGGTCTAGTTGGTGGCTAGTTTCTTTGCTTCTTTGTGTGTACTTCGGTGCGCATTATTGTTGAGTTACTAAACTCTTTGATGGTGTCGTATGGCCTGCATTATATCAAGTGGTTGTACTTCTGTTGTTAACTCAAAGCAGCGACTGCCTAGGGAGAATCTAACTGTCTAACTGAAACAAAGCGTTTGTGGTACCCACAGATGACGATGCTACTGCTAGGATGAAACTATGGTTGTGGAGTACTTTTGGTTGCTTTTCAACAGTGTTTATTAATGTGTTTATACATTCTGTTCTCTCCATAGTGTTCATTTCATATTTTGATCTGACACTAGTAACTAGTGCGATGTGTGCCTAGTCCTCTCATTGGTGCAGACTGAATTTTATCAGTCAGTCAGGTTTGCAATATGGCCACCATGCCACTAGGTAGCTGGCCATCACGCTGCACATTGATTTGGTGATATTAGATAGTGGTTGGAGGCAATCGGCCACAGGAAGCCCAATCCAACCTAGGTTTCGTGCTAGTTGGCACTCACCAGTCAAGCAAGGCAAGCGTATCTGTAACCAGCTTGAAGGAACTCATGTCATACACCTCTGAGATTCGAACCTGCTGCGTCACCTGGTGCGTACTGCAGTCAGAGACGTTACCAGCCCGAATAGCTCAGTGGTAACGCGGGTTCTAATCTCAGAGGTGTGTGACATGAGTTCCTTCAAGCTGGTTGCAGATACGCTTGCCTTGCTTGACTGGTGAGTGCTAACTACCACGAAACCTAGGGGTCAAGGAAGGCTCTTCCTGTGATTGATTACCTCCAACCATCTAATATCATGTTCATTTAATGGCTTATTTTCTCTGTTTTCAATTTTGTTTCTGCAAAACACATCTAGGAATTATTCGCCTTCCATATTACACCAAAATCTAAGCAAATGTCTCCTATCTATGCAGATATATTCAATCATTTGAAAACAATTAATGCTTGTGGTAGTTTAGAGCCAAGATTCTCAGGTGCTCATGATTGTCTCCTCTATCCACTGTCAGCAGATACAAATCTATTCAACGCCTTGTTACCGTCTAATTTATTAGCAAAATTTAATATGATTAATTGTAATGATGGTGTTGTATTGTCAGAAAATCATTTATTGATTATTTTAACAATGACAACGACGTTGACGACGACTACTCCACCACCTCCTCGTCCTCCAACTCCTCCTGCTGCTGCTTCTAAAAGTGTATGTGTAACGCCGAGTATTAAAAGTGATATGTCAAGTCCTCTGCCGCCATCATTGACATCACCAACAGTTGTATCAAACTATGTTGAAGAAGAGAAAATGAGAATAATTGATGATACTACTACTACTGATATTACTACTGAAAAGATGTCAGTAGTCAGTTCATTACCAGTAGAGGATACATCGTTGAATAACACTTCATATATCCTACCGAGGTTCATTCAACCAATTGTAGAAGAAAATGGTGGTAAGTACAGAATTTATTGCTTATTGTATATAATTACCTCTTTGTACAGATTACTCGACAGAGAGAGAGTGAGTCACCTCTTGTGCCGTGTATCTCTTTAAAACACAAAATAAGTGTGAGCAAAGCAGAATGTCACCCTTTCGATAATTTCCTCCTCTTCTGGCTCTACAATTATATACGTATATGTTTATATACATAGAATATTCTAGATTAGCAGTCAATAACAATATTGGCGTGTTTTTTAAATAATATCGTTTTGTCAAGTAAGGTCACATTGGAATTACCACAGTTCATTAAAGATGCTTAAATTATAATAATAATAATAATAATAATAAAGAGATAATAGCAAATAGAATATCAACTAAAATTCAGGATCATTCAAACCTAGATGGCCAAGGGGGGTAAGGATAATGCCTGAACCAACCAACTTCTTTTGAATCCATAAATTAGGCTTGTTAATGTGGATCCCAACAGCAATATTTAATAGTCGAACTCTTAAGGCGTAATTGAGATTTGTTAGTTTACGGTAAATGACTTGGAAAGCCGCCTCGTTGACATCAATCTGGTGTTCTGTACGTACAAGATGATATAGAATAGCACTACGCGAATAGATTTTGTTTGTCCTTTACTTAACCAACCAGGACTCCAATAAGAAATATTAACAAGGCAGAAATAAAAGTGGCTGGTATTCAAACCGCTCCACAAACTCAATTAGAAACAAGCTTTGTCGGTAAAATGGTGGATCCTGTGGAGCTTTTAAAACAAAACAATTTAGTTTATCTAATACCCTACCTGCAATGATTGTCAGTGGGGTCATATACGTAGGTCAAAGTAGTAGAACAGGGGCAGTCAGTCAGACTAGCCGAACATAAAAACCTAGCAGCAAAATCTGGATTAGTTGACTCGAATTAGATAAGAAATCTCGAGAATAGTTCAGCTATAGCACTCAATACGTGCAATTACACACAACCATACAATACGATGGGATGGGATGGGATAAGATGACAGTTGTAAAATCTAAGGTCACAGGGTTTGAGGGAGGGAGAGATTGATAACTGACTGAAGCTTTGTTTATCGAATCAACTGCAAACCAACACGTGTAATAGAAATGATTCAACACCTGTCCAATCGGACGTATGGAAAATTCCCAATGGCGGCAAATAGTAGAGAACAAAGAAAACTATAAAACTCAAGTTTCAAAGTCGTGTGATTATAATAGAGAATATGATTAGGAACAGCAATAAATTTTGTTCGAAACTGTGTCATCCAGTAAATAGCAATACTGTTACACTCATTTTGTGTGATACATCTAATGAACAAACTAATGTGGAATTACTTACTACCACAGTGCTCAAGTTTTTCACATATATTAATATGTTGTTGTCAAAAACTAACTGAGACTACCCACCAATCATCTATGTAGAATTTTATTTATTTATTGTTTCAATGCACAAACTGGATGCGCAAAACTGTATGTAGTAAAAAATACTGAGAATTCCATTCTGTGTGTATCACAAGTACTATTTTGGAATAAAGCAAATTATTATTATGAGTATTGTTATTGATTTTTTTTATAGTGTCATCAATCAAATATGAAGAACAAGAAGTACCAACTGCTTCTGCGACTGTTGCCACAATCTCAATCAATTCTTCAGGTGATATTGATTTACGTCCTCTAACAACGATGGGTACTCCTATTGGTGTAAATACAAGCCAACAATCCTATCATCAATCAATACGACCATCGTCGCCAATACAACCACAACAACCAGATTGGTATTATCCATCATTATCCACTGAAGATGTTGACTATCGTGAGTATATTCCACAACCTCATGAACATCATCCTCACCATCCACAGCAGGAGCGGCTTCCTCCTCATCATCAAGATGATGATATGAATCCTAGACCATCTATGTTATCACCAATTGATCCTAATATTAATAATAATATTGTCCCCTTACAACAGTCTGTCAGTAATCACGACTATTCTTATTATCATGAGCAGCGGCAGCATCGTCGTGATCAGCGAGGTTATAATCGATCAAGGTCTCATGAAAAGGCATATTATCCAACTGTTGGGCATAAAAGACTTCATTCTAAAGAAAGACTCGATGATTATTATAATTGTTATTCATTGAAGCCATCTGGCAGTAAACATCTTCTACCCGATCCTTCAGGATATAAGATGATGAAGAATAAGAAGACGAAGAAGCAAGATCAGAGTCGAAGACATTTTTATTCATCTCCGGTTTCTACTAATTATGGTAATAATAATAATAATAATAATCGTGAACGTAAACCATCACTACTACCACCAATATCAATCGATATACCACGTTCTAATCGACGAGATGCACTTCTTCCAACACCGCCAGCTCAATCCTCCTCCACCACCTCCTCCTTCTCCTCATCTGCACGACTGAAATTATTTCATGATCGTGATCATGATCGCGATCATGATTATGATTATCATAGATCAAGGAAACAATCACCACGCAGGCGAAGTTCTCCTTCATCATCACCGCCTAGTTATACTTCTCATTCAACGACAGCTCCTGTAGTAGTTGTTCATCACTACAATCATGATCACCGTCATCATCATCATCATCCTCGTCGTAGTCGTGGTGGCGGTGATGGTGGTGGTGGTCATAGTCGTCATTCACATTATCAACGTTGATGACGTACGCTTAACTGTGTTGTTGTATAAATTAGAATTCTTATTGATTTTTAAACCATATTATTATTATTACTATTTTTGTACAGTGACTTTTGTCTGTGTGTGTGTATCACCTTGGTTAAGTAAGAATCGATATTGAAAGGAGAATGAGAATGTGTTGACTCAAGAAAGTAGTATCTCATCCTAGATATAGGGATGAGAAAAAGAAGAAGAATGTGTCTTTATGAAATCTAGTTTATCTAATCTTACATTTCCTTCACCCCTTTGCTTTTATTTTCATGACTTCTAAGTAACTTCTAAGCCGTTGAAGTTGAGTTGGGTTGGGTGGGGATGTTGTCCTCGAAGACAGACAAACCTACTGTACTGACTCTGTCGACAACAGTCAGATCGCCCACTGTGTTCACACTTTCATGAATATTCAAATTGTGTCATTTTGTTAGAGCGCCTTACTACTACTACTACTACTACTACTACTACTACGAGGATAATGGCGACGAGAGATTTCATCAGAGAGACAGTTAACTAACTAAGTAACTAACTATTTCTAGTTAGCTTCTTATCCTGTCATAATTTTTTTTTATACATAATCGAACATTTGTTTGTTCAGCCTTCCTTATTATTATTATTAATTGAGTGAAATCCACTCTGTATTCAAAAAAATGTTCTCTCCTCCCTTTTTTCTCTCTCTTCTTTTGTGTTTCTGTGTGTGTGTGTGTGTGTGCGTTATTTGTGTGAAGTTTATCCCTCCCCCCCGCACCCATAATAACATCAACACATGTCCTTTAAAAGGGATCGTTTTTTTGTCTTTGTCTTTCACAATAAGGTGATGGAGAGATTTAGAGTTAAGAATTGAAATGGGCGGAGTTAGTTATGACGGGTAATGATAATAATAATAATAAAACGTTGTTATGTAACAACAGAAGATAAGGGCCAGGCAACAAAGCGTTTATTAAGGAAATCAACCCGTATTTATATATTATATTTCCTGTACATTATTGTAGCTTATCCAAGTAGACAAACACAGTCTTCTGATTGGGGTTGTTTCTGGTTTCTCGGAAAGTTAAGCAGACAAACACAGTCTTCTGATTGGTTGTGTTTCGGGTTTCTCAGAAAGTGAGGCCATCTATCTGCCAATCTTATTTGCCCACGTTTAAGTCTGCGGTGATTGGTTGTTGAATCAGTCTTCTTCATATTTTCTCACGGCTAATATTAGTGACCTAGACATTGTTGACGTAGATTAATTAATGTCTACCATTTGGCTAGCAGCCTGCTCTCACCACAGTTATAGCAGCTACATAGCAAAATACTGCAATATGGAGAAAATTATGCATAAAGTTGCATAAAATTGTAGTAATAACAACTAAAATAAAATAGCAAAGTTATAATTAAAGGATAGAAAGGGTGACACCATAAAATTAATTACAGAAAGATGAACAATGAAAGGGTCGATTCACGTTTTGCTAATTACATAGTAACTTCTTGTATGTTTCACGTCTAACAGTGTTTTCATCAAATAAAGTACGGACTAAATAGGGTATTGCAGAATTTCTGTACTCAGTGGTACGAGCGTATAACTTCTAATTATATTGACTTCTTGTCCTACCTGATGAGATACAAGGAGATAGTTGTGAATAAAGGGGGTGCAGCAGAGGGTCTGACAGTACAGCCTTTGCCCATTTTGTACAGGAATTTATGTGTCTCTCGACTTATAGTATTGGCGAGCTCACGCAGTGGCATACCACAAACCCTACTCACAGCATTTAATACTCTTCATAATATGATATAGTCTTTTTTGAGAAGCCCAGGAAAGATTAATGGAGAGCAATAAAGTACTATAGGTAGAATACAGGAGTTTACAAACTGCAGAAGTAAAGGTTGGTTGATACCTGATTGTCTTAACTTTTTAATGTAGAAGGTAAGACGAAACATTTTCTTACAGATAGATAAGACGTGGTATGCCCATGAAAGGTCAGAGGAAAGAACTAATCCAAGGTACTTAATGCTTGACTTAGTTTCAATTTCTGTGTCATCTATGCTACAGGCATCATGCGAACTAACTAGTTCATGTAAGTCACGTCGATGCTTGAAAGTAAAGTTAACTGCCTGACATTTGGAAGGATTTAACATAAGACCATTTGACTTAGACCACTTGCTGATGTCCAACAGAAAGCTCTTAATGGGTGGTGTTAGTTGTGTATACTGGTGAAGAGTCTCTAAAATCTGGAGGAGGAGGAGGGGCGAGGCGGCGGTTATTCAGTAGTAATAGTAGTGTAACAACAGAAGACAAGGGGGGAGACTTCATGCATTTATTCCCCTTGATGAATTTGAATAAAGCAAGAAAAACAGTGTGTGTGGTTTGTGCAGAATAAGAAGATGGTACTTACTACTTACTTTACTTTACTTCGGCTATCTCCTACAGGAGGATGAGCCGGCTTCATGAATGTCTCGAATCATCGCTGCCCAGGCGCGGCAATTTGTAAGAGAGTTCATGAAGTTTCATGGGAATTTGGTACGAGTGATGTCCCCAGCATCGCTCGGAAGATGGTACCATCATTGCTGATTTCGTTTGTTGGCTTCTCATCAGCTCAGCTGCTACTTACAGCCTAAATAAATTATGAGGTTTACGCACAGAAAATGTTTTAACATACTTGCAAATTTGTTTCTTCATGATGTCAGTTGACCGAAGGTTCCACAATTAGTGAACAGTGCTCAGAAAATTGAGCTTATATAGTTTTTACACAGGCAGTTCACGTTTAGACAAAATAAATGTATGCATACAGTGGTGAAGGAGTTACGTAATAAGGACGAGAGATGCGTTAGATACAGAGTGACTAATAAATTAGGTAACAATGTACTGAGTTCAACTTAAGTCATAGAAACAAGAGACAAGCAAAATTACACTGTGTCAAAAGGGCGGTGTGGTTAAAGTCAAGGATTACGTAATCAAATAAAAGAAAGAATAAAGGCATCCAGTTACCAGGATGAGCAAAGAAAGACTAATAACTGCTTCTTTCTGAACACATATATCTGGTTTGCTACAACCGTTTGACAGAAATTGCTTCGGCAAACTTGAGGAGAATTGAGCTCCTTTGTCTGTTGATAATTTTAAAAGATTTCGCGATTTCTACCTCATGACCCGTGTTGAGGAGATGTCTAGAAATAGCGCTACTATAAGAGTTTGTTCCCCGCTGGAGACGTAGGCTTTTCAGCACATGTTCAGAAAATGGAACGTCTGTGCCCTTCTTCTTTCTGTTCTCTCAATGTAACTGCTCCAGCAGATACAAGTAAATTTATGTACACAGTTGGAGTTGTTAACATGAGAAGGGTATCTATCGACTTTTGACTGCACCAAAGAGCATGTTGTTCGGTGGTTGGGAACCAAATTAGCTGCAGGATAGGCTATGGCTAGTGATGTTCCCAGTCTTCTGTTGACCATTTCTGCAATGTTTTCACCTTTAAAATCTAGTTGAATGAAGAGAGGCTTTTTTTCAACTGTGATTTGTTTGGTATTTGAGCCTTCACTTCTTCCATATTTGTTAATGAATCTTTGAGGGTAACCGTTGTTTTTCTCTGCACCTTTTCAAGAATCGTAAATTCTTCCTCTAGTTTCTGTGCAGAGCATATTCTCCTCGCTCTATAGTACAGAGTCTTGACTAATGCTCGTTTATAGCTATTTGGACAAAAACTATTAAAATGTAAGTATTGTCCATTCCATGTAGGCTTTCGGTAAATTGACCTCTGGAGATTACCATCGTCTACTCATTGCATGGTGATGTCAAGGAAGTGGAACTTTCCATCATTTTCATGTTCTATAGTAAATACAAGACAAGGGCCAGGAAACAGATCGTTTATTTAGGAAATCAACAGATATTTATAGATTTTCATGTACATTATTATAGATTATTGTAAGTGAACAAACACAGTCTTGTGATTGGTGGTTGTTTCTCGCTGAACGTTAATCTTTTATCTCCTATTTGTGGGGGCTTCCTGAAGTTCAGATTATCTATCTCCAAATTGTTTCTGCCCATGCAAACAAAGTGTGCTGTGATTGGTTGTTGATTCAGTCTTTGTTTTTGTTCTTTTCCCATGACCAATATTGGGGACGTAAAGATCGACGTAAATTACTGTCTGCCAGTTTTAGCTAGCAGCCAGCTCTCACCACACTCGTCCCCCGTCAAAGACTTGCAACTGAAGTTGGTTCTAGGGGCTTTGCTCGTTTGTCTTGTTATCTAGAATCTCGGCTCTCGTTGATGTTCACCTGTTTCTCTTTGTTTACCACTTTGATTGTGTCTGCGTAACTCCATCTCAAAGTGACCGTATGTTGTCCTTCCCAATTAGGAAAATGTTTGCCTGACCCTGTCTCACATTCGTCGGTATTTCGCCTCACACTCTCATATGCTGCTTTCTCCCGACCTCCTAGCAGTGTCCCAAGTAACAGCCAGATCTTGAACGCCACTCAACTGCGCAGAAGCCTCGAAGTCCTGTCCGAAGATCCATATGTCTCCATCGAAAACTGCAGAGCATAGGCTTTCCATTTGTTGATAGGCAGCGACACCAAATGTAACAACAGAAGACAAGGGCCAGGCAACAAAGCGTTTATTAAGGAAATCAACCCGTATTCATATATTTTCATGTACATTATTATAGATTATTTTAAGCGAACAAATACACTCTTCTGATTGATGGTTTCTCGCTGAACGTTATTCTTTCATCTCTTTGTGGCCGTTTCTTAAATGTCAGATCATCTATATATTAACTGTATTCGCTCACGCAAAGTCTGCTGTGGTTGGTTGTTGAAACAGTCTTTGTTCATATTTTTCTCATGACCAGTATTGGGGACGTAAATTGGCTGGTGCTAGCAGCCAGCTCTCACCACAGTAGTAGCCATTGTCGTTTTTCAATTGATATCTGTTTGGGTGAGGTTTACCCTCGACTTGTAATTACTGAATATCTTCTAGAACTGACTGTGATTGAGTTTCGACACAGAACTTTACAAAGAAGTATCGTAATTTTATGTAGAAAATTGAGGGGGGTAGAAGAACAGTAACATTGATATTTGAAGATCATGAGGAATTAGTGCACCTTCGCCGTTGAGAACAGTTTTGAGGCATATCGTTAAGTGACTCTCTAGGTATTGATGCTTAAACAACCTGAGGATGCCAAACAGACAGCGTACCCCTTTCCATATGACTGGTTGAAACTAACTGTCAAGGATTTCATGGACTGGTGTCATGTTTTGGTTTAACCTCCACTGGCTCTTTTTTATTCTAATCGTATGTTAGCGAACATTGGTTTTTTCGGTAGGTGATGGTTAGGCATGCGTAACACGTGTCATAGTGTGACGAGAGCTGTCTGCTAACCAAAATTGGTAGACAGCAATTTACGTCAACGTTTACTTCCTAAATTTTGGTCATGAGAAAAAAATAGGAACAAAGACTTTGCGTGGGCGGATACAATTCGCAGATATATGGTCTGAACTTCAAAGAAACGGCCACAAAGAGATGACAGATTAACTTTCAGCGAGAAAACAGCCTATCAGAAGACGCTATTTCTCTGCTAATAATAATGTACATAAAAAATCTATAAATATCTGTTGATTTTCTCAATCAATGATCTTTTGCCTGGCCTTTGTCTTCTGTCGTGTTACGATAGCCATCTCAATCAATTCACATTGACAATCTCGTCGACTAACTTACCTTGCTTATCTAACTCGACATCTAGCCTCAATGTAACTCATTATATTGTACCAGTTAGCACGTGTGGTAGGATGCAAACATCTTCCACTTTCAACAGTCATGCCTCACAGTCGTAAAGAAGGATTGACTGAGAACTGCTGAGCAGTACACACATCCCTTGATTGATAACAGGATATTACATCTACGCCAGAGATTTCTCTTGTCCTCCTGTATCAAACATTTTATTTTAGTGTATACAAACAAATCACATAAGTGTGCCACTACTAAGTTCAGTCACTGAAAAATTGATCGGTTTAAATTGAAACTCAGTAGGTGGACATTATTTTATTGAAATCTTCACAAGGGAATGTGCCTCTGATAAATTTGAGAAGAGATAGAACAAGCATTGGGAAAGAAAATAACATGGATTCATTTTATTCAGTGGTTTTCCTCTTCAGCTGCCTACAACCTTTAACCTCCAGGATTACGGGTTATGACACAGCTGGAATTCCCGGCTGATAACTGCTGCCTTGTCATGGTGGTTGGGATTGAATACCGTAATGACCAAACATGCTATACTGACTGGGACTCTGTGCCTGCAGGTTCTACCATGTCAGGAAGGTTTTCTGGATAGCGGTTAAACTAAAAGCAGTTACCATGGGGTACATGGGCTCGAGTATCCAATCGGATCAAATGGTGTATGAACCCATATGGGTCACCGGAAATCATGGGAATGCAACTCCTGACACTGCTCCGCTGCCTTGCGGATTAGACTCCAAGTCAAAGATTCAGGGGATGAGGTGGTCCCTTAATAAAACCACCTGCCTCGGTATGGGCGCCCGGGCAATATCTCAGCCCAA